TTTTTGGATGTTTGCAACGTTTGCCTTTTGCTTGTGCTGGTTCTGCTTTCTCTTTTGCTGCTGCTGCGGCTGTTGCACCTTCAGAGTCTGGGCTGGAGGCCAAATCCGAATTCTCTGCATGCAGGGAGGCAGACTCAAAAGCAGTCTCAGTGGTGTCGGTTTTGTTTTTCCCTCTGCCTCTGCCTCTGCCTCTGCCCCTTCCTTTTGCTTTTGGCTTTGGCTCGGTAACTGGTTGTCCGGATGGCTCGTAGGCATTGGCTGCTGCACGCACTCTGGTTTGCGCCTGCAGTTGCAACGCACAGGGCTAAACGCAATATGCCTGCCAATGCACATGCACTATAAGCCAGCCAAACGAAAAAATAACAACCAAGCATTTTAAATTTAATCGCCTGCATGATTTCAGCTGCTGACGCATTGCCCATGCTGGCCACAACAGCTTCGGCTGCATTTTTCAATGCCTCTGGCACTTCTTGCAAGGGCCGGAGGCCCCCAAGCGCGTCCTGGTGTCAAGCAGTATTGGCATTATCATGCAGTCCGCTGGGTCCATGAACGTGTTACACATTTGATCAATGATTCGATGGGGGGAGGCAATGTTAACAACATCCACGTGTTACTTTGAAAAGGTCAAGGTGATTCAAGGTGCATCGTTTTCTTTTGCAAGAAAAATCGACAGAAGTCCTGAACCGCCAACCTGTCACTGCCTGCTCCCTTGTCATGTTCCGCTGCTGCATCCGGCTTCGCAGGCCGGCTTTTACTGTTGCTGGAAGGCTCAGTTTTTGCCGCTTTGCCCCGAATCGTTGACTGGTCTGCGTTGGGTGGTGCATCGGCCTTATCGGTCACTGGTGGGAGGGCTGTTGCTGACGCCTCATCCCTGACGGCTGAAAGGCATGTTCTCCGTGAGCTCGCGCTTCAAGCGCTGCATGGTGGCCAAGGCCCGGCGCATTCTGGACGCGCCCCCGCGCTACTTCATGCAGGTGAAGACGGACTGCGTGCTGACACAGCGTCTGCCGACGCTTCTCGGAACAGCTGCGGGCGCTCGAGGCGCTGCGCCACCCGGACGGCACCCCGGTCTACCGGGTGGAAGAGACGAAGCCCCTGCTGGGGAGAAGCCTGGGATGAGAGGTGCTGGCTCTTTTGTCACTGCGTTGAAGGATGGTGTGCGTCGGCCTTATCGGTCATTGGTGGTGGGAGGGCGGCTGCTGACATTTCATCCCTGACAGCTGAACTGGCCTTATCGGTCACTGGTGGGAGGGCTGCAGCTGTCATGTCTTCATCGCAATCCATTAAGTCTTTACCATCGCCATGGCATGCGATCAGCGAAACGCAATCATCATCTGTTTGAGATTCTTCCTCTGTTTGCTTGCGCGCTGCTTTGCGCTGTGCACACCTGTGCTGCCGCTTGACTGCTTGCATTGAATTGTCCACCGGACCTGAGGCATAAGTCATCATAAGTCTTTAAGGCACGTTTATGTTCATTGGCTAAACGACTTGCTCGTCATGTGCAAACAGTGCCAACGTCACCAAGGTCACAGCCATCCATTGGCAGTCTCCATGTTGTCGGGGTTGTCAGGCAAAACTCGCTTGTGTGACGCTGCCTCCTAACAATGTCTCAAACTTGCAGGCAGAGAGCGAAAAGACCAACTCAAACACACTGATTGTCTAGCAGAATAACTGTATTTTACTTGCCTTGTCTAAATTCCCTTGGCCTAGGGAAACGGATTTGATGCAAAGGTGGCACGCATATCGAGTCCTCGCGCAGCTTGCCAACCATGTACTTGATTTTTGCCATGTTCGAGGTAGAGTACCTGGACCAATACAATCGAATAATTCAAATTATTGCATGGGCAATGGAATGCTGTTGCGTTCCGCGAACTCCGGCGCAGGCAGTACCGCATAAGCGCCCGCTGCAAATCAGCTTCCACTTGGGCCCAGGCCTCCACACTCAGATTTGAAAGCAAAACCAGCCTCACAGTTGAAGCTACTGTGAATGCATGAGCCCACGATTCCTTGAACCTGCAAGGCTTTATGGCTGAGTTTTCAAACTCATGGATTGGATGGGTTTTGAACTGAATGAGGTAGTGGGTTCAGACATTCAGCCACCACAGCTCTTAAGATTGCCAGCGCCACAGCCAGGAAGTGACATGCCTGAGGGGCATGCGACTTCATTGCTGGGGCGTTGGCCCAAGGCCGCCATTGATGAGCTGAGCTTTTCAAGCTCACAAGCTGGTGTTCCTTGGCGATCACCACTAAGGTCGCCTGCTGGACAGGGCAGACGGATGCAGACGGCAGGACTGCTGGACTGGGAACGGCCTGGAGGGTTGTCCCGTTGGGCACGTGCAGTCCGAAGAAGCTCAGCCAATTGCTAGCAAACATTGAAGTTGACTGCGTCTTCAACCTGCGTTGCTGCCACCCCAGTGTGCGTGCGCAGAAGGTATCCCTGAGTTGTTTTCTGGGATTCACTAATTGAATTGGTGTGCCATGTGAAGCTTTCACACAGTTGAAATGAACCCAATTTTGATCGAGAATCATTTCAGAGCTGGCCTGCCTTTTTTGTGGGTTTTGGACGACTGAGTCATTTTAACAAATCCCACCCCAATACAGTCTTTAGAGATTGAAGGGTTGAAGCTGCAGTCCCTGGCCTCGTCAGCGTTGACAATCCCCTTGTACAGGTTCACAAAGCTGAACGTGGCAGGAACCTAGCGCTTGCCCGGCTTCGTTCAGTTTCAAGGCTTGATCGGAATTGTGTCTCAGGAGCCTTCCGAGTTGCACGCACTCCATCCCCTCCCTACCCCGCCTTTGATTGGTCCAGCATTCTCTTAATGCGGTCGGGGTTCAGCCCCGATCTCAAAGCCACAGCAGTGAAGCGGTCCATTCTGGCAGGAAATTTCAAAAGGCTTAACTAAGCTGTGGCTCATCTTCGAACAAGCGCAAGTAGAACCCCTGGCTGGTGCGAATGATTTCGGGAATCGCAGTGCGCTGCGTGCCGGTCCTTGAGTTCCTTGGCTTTGTCTTCCCGCATGCGGACCGGCCGCGAAGTGATCCGGGCCGGCTGGGCAGCCATCTCATGGAAGCGGTTCACTGGGATTGGGGGGGAAGTGCAACTGGCCAACCTGGGCCTGATCTTCAAACACACTAAACCCTGATTTTGGGTTGGCAGCGTTTTTGGCAGTGAAATCACCTCAATTTCCTGGTGAACCAACCTGGCATGTGCATGTGTCCATTTCACTTGGAGCCATTTCCAGCACGGCTGAGTAGATGCAAAGAATCCGCTCTGAGAGTTAGATTTGCTCCACTTAATCTTGCCAGCCTCACCATCATCCAAATCAAACTCGTCCAGCCACGGCATGCGCTGTTGCGCTGCATATGCCAACGCAGATTCCATCGCGACTCATCCCAGGATCATTGAGGGCAGTGACAGTCAGTATCTCTTTATCAGACTGTCACTTGTTCAAGGGATAATGACGAGCCCTGACATTTAGCTGAATGGCGCATTCCACCCCTGAAGCGTGCCAGTAGTGATGTGAACGACCGCATTTTCATTGTTCAAGGTTGTCCATGGATCCAAAATCTGATGAATTGTGCAGAGTGGCTACTTTCATCAAGTTGTTCCCCTTGCAATTTCAATTGAAGAACCATGACGTTTTCAATCGTGCTGATGGCGTTTTTTTTCCATCCCCGAAGTGTCAGTGTGTGATCTCAAAGCAGCAGTTGGAGGTTCACCACGGATACTGTTTGATCGTCCTGACATTTCCAACAGTTGCACCGAATGGCGCCGCCCTTAAAATCAAGATGTGGTCCCTTGAAGAACTGCTCTGTAAAGCATGCAGCTTGCTGACAATGAGTTTTGTTTCTGTCCTGCCCCCCCCCCCCCGTCGAGCCAGCGCCAACAAGGCCTAACAATTGAACCACCTGCATTCCGGAGCATGATCAAAAACAACACCTGCGTTGAAGATGACACTTCAATTGAAATTGAATTCAATCAACTGTCACACCGATGTCAAAAGTGGAACGTTGAAGATTAAAATGCGACCTGTCACATGCCATGATCATTCGCCACTATTATTGTTTTGAACAACATGCCAAGTGCCGCAAACAAGGCCGAGGCCGCTGAAAGTGAGGACGCTCACCGAACATTTCGAAAGGACCCGCTAAAACGAGGTCCTGGAAGACGAAGGCTGAGGATGTAGTCTTCCCTTCCGTCATCTTCCCGTAGTCTTCCGTCATCTTCCCGTAGTTGTAGTCTTCCGTCATCTTCCCGTAGTCTTCCGAGACTAGAGGTTAGGAGACTACGGGAAGATGACGGAAGACTACGGGAAGATGACGGACGACTACGGGAAGATGACGGAAGACTACGGGAGAATTTTTGACACACCTAACCTCTCCCTAACCTCTAACCTTAACCTCTAACCCTAACCTGTAACCCTAACCCCCAACCCTAACCTCTACGGGAAGATGACGGAAGACTACGGGAAGATGGAAGACTGCGGGAAGATGACGGAAGACTACGGGAAGATGACGGAAGACTACGGGAAGATGACGGAAGACTACGGGAAGATGACCGAAGACTACGGGAAGATGACCGAAGACTACGGGAAGATGACGGAAGATGACGGAAGACTACGGGAAGATGACGGAAGACTACGGGAAGATGACGGGAAGATGACGGTCTTCCGTCATCTGCCTGTAGAGGTTCGCGGGTCGGGTTAGAGGTTCGGGTTAGAGGTTGGGGTTAGGGTCGGGTTAGAGGTTAGGGTTAGAGGTTAGGGTTAGAGGTAGGGTTAGAGGTGAGGTAGTGTCAGAGGTTAGGAGGTTAGGGTTAGAGGTTAGGCCGCCGCGGGACCCCCCTCCCGCCCTCAGACTGCCCCTAACCACCACTCAGAACACGCCTCGCCCCTTTGCAGAGACTAGCTTGGCTTTTGCAAAGGTGTCGGCGGATTTGAGGTATGCCTGAGTTTCTACAAGGAAGCCAAAAGGAAAACACTGCGTGATGTACCCCACAGGTGGAGCTTTGGAACACTCTGGGGCAGCTCAAGTACACGGCACCTTGGCAGCACGGTGAGATTTCAACCGATGCCGTTTGAAGGCAGAAGCTGGTGGCTTCTCAAGGGGCAGAGTCAGACTAAGTTGGCTAAACCAGTCAGGTTTCGGCGAGTTTGCTTGGAAGCGCGGCTTCGTATGATTTTCTGATGATAGTCATATGACTTCCCAGGTGTCTGGACTTGGCAAACAACCCTCGCCACTGAGGTTACCTGTCAGGAAAATTTCAAGGATTACGTGTCCGCGGTGGTTTGGGTGCCCTTGGACAAGGAGAGACGAAGGTTTTTGGGACAATGTTCAAAAAGCAATAAAGATTCTTGGTGAAGACCAAGGGGTGAGATTACCTCACCCAGACCTCCAGTGGTTGCTCCGCGTTTTCTTTTGGAGGGGGTTCTCTCTTTAAATCAACTGGCGAAAAAGAACGCTTTTTGCCACAGCCACTGAAGACGAAGGCTTCTGTTCTTGCAGCTGTCATTTCGGTTCGTGGAATGGTTTGGTTGATCCAGAAATTGGGATGCAAACTGGTTTGGCCAAGACCTTGGAATTGAAATCACGCACGTAGGCCCCGAGCAGGGTTTCCTCAGATGGAGTCACCCTACCCCTCCATCCACAATACTTGTATAAGAGACAATGTAGGGAGGAGGTAAACGAACGTACACTAGACTGGCAAGTGCCAACCCAAGATCCTTGAATGTTGTTTTTAGCCGCGAGGTTTGACCTCCAAGCAGCTTTGACCATGGCACGTATGAGAGCTAGATACTTTTGTGAGCGAGGTACGCCCACAGCCAAGGCACGCATTAAACCAATGAGCGAGATGACAGTGCGTGCAGAAGCCTAGAGTTGCAAACAAATCACGTTCCAGAGAAGAACCTCGTGAAACAACATTTTTAAAGGGGGGAGGGTTCCAGCCACCCTCAGAGAGCAACTAATTGTTCTACAAGTGCGACTGATTTGCTGAGCCGAAGAAGTCTTCTTCCGGTTCCCCTCCCTGTATGTACACTTGCCCAAACGGGGCTACGGAAAGACGGATTTGCCAGGAGACTTGACTTCACAGCCGACCCGTTTCACACGATCTTTCACACGATCTGGCGTTCCCAAATCGCTCCCGTCTCTTTCGGAACTTAGGACAATCAGAATTATAGGTAGTTGAAAGTGTTTCATGTGAAGTGGATTTCCTAAGCACCGAGTACAAGGGAAGAAAGGGTCCCGTGCCTTTCTGTGGACCGGGGTCCCTGCTAGGGACTTTTGATCGATGCAGGGAGAGGCGCCTTGCCGCATTAGGCGAGCAAGGACAAAGAGAAGATCGCGGCTGTGTCCTGGGACGGGAGCATTAAGGCGAGGTTTGGCCATTTATGCATTCCCAAGTTGCGGTTTCTTTTTTGGTTTCTCTTTCAACCAACATAACAAGGGTATCCCATCGAAAAGAATGACATAGTGACGGGCAAGGGGCAGGGGAATCGCACTTTCGCATCACACGAGCCATTCTTTTCCGGGATCAAAGGTGGAACCAATTAGGAAATCAATTGCGGCACCAAAATTGGAATCAATTTCACAAAGAAAAAAGCAATTTGATTTCCGTTGCCTGCAGAATCAAAATCTCAGAAGGCTTCTTGATTGTAAGCAAGACTACTTTGTCATGATGCTGCTTGAGAATTCGAGGTGTTTTGCTGAAACATGAGCTGCCGGGACCGGTTGGACTCTTGGGCCTTCTTTGGCTGGGAGGCCTTAGCCGATTGCCAGACTTGAACTTGACTAACCATTTTTGTTTGTGTAACCTTTTGTTCAATCGGTGCCTCATTTCCATTTCAATCAGGACAAATTCGCCTTCTGGGGTCCAAGTCCGCCCCATCCAGACAGGTCTGGTTCGTCAAAGACATGAAGCTGCACTGGAATCAGAATCACCACAAAGGTGCCTTGCATGCCGTGGCGGCTTCTCCGGACGGCAGCTTCTTGCTTGCGCTTTCAGCATTTCTGGGAACACGTGTTTGTTTTTAGTTTAGCCCATCCATTCTTTGAACCAATGTTGCTTGAGTCTCACCTCATGTGACGCAATTGAGGGGACACGTCCCGTCCGGGTGAACCGTTTCAGGGAGCCCCAAAATGCACCCCGACCGCCTAAATCATGTAACATGGTTGGTCCCAATGGTTGGATCTTTACACTTCTTGCAAGTGCCGACCCCAGATCAGGGATCCATCTATCTCAATAGGGGCGATTGCTGCGGGGTCAGCCATCCAACCAAACCCTGAACCAACCCCCAGGGCTGGCAGCGGCTGCATTTTGAATATTTGGGTGCAAGTTGAAAGAGAGATCCTTTAGGTAGGGTGTTTCTCTGCAGGACATATAGAGATATATGTATGCATGTAAAGTATATCGGGAGCCCAGGTCACTTAACAAGTCAAACAACTTTTGCTTGTGTCAGACAAGCTGTTTGCCCGTTCGGGTGTCCTTAATTTGCCCTTCTGCAATTTGTAGTTATATATTTATATATATATATATGTTTTCTTCCTAGTGGTTGGTTTTGAACATCACCGCTCAGGCCAAATGAAAGTGTTTAACGGGAATGTAGGGAGCCCTGTTTTCAACTGCTATTCCGGACGTCGTGGCCAAGCCGACCTCTCGAGGCCTGATCTTTGCCGGGGGCGAGGATGGCGTTGTCTCCGCGTGGGAAACCGAGACGGGAGACTTGGCAATCGGATCGCTCTCGGATGTGTGGACTTGTCATGTTGGAAGCTCGGGAGGCGATCAGGTGACATGCTTTCCGCTGACGAATTGTTAGGCTATGCGGGAGCAATGGCCTCAGCGGCGTGCTCGTCACCACTAGTGTGTGACCTCAAAAAGTGGTGACCTCAATGGTGGCACCTTTGGTGACCGTTATGGTCCATTTGTTGATGCCAGCGATTGGGATGCAAATGAGCATTCATTTGCGTCCTGAGCTCTGGGTTCTGCGGGCGCAGTTTTGGCACCTTTGGGTCAAAAAGGCTCGCGGCGATGCTAAGCCAGACGACCGGTTCTGAACAAGCTCAGTTGCTCAACGCGAATCGACCTTTCAACCTTTGTTTTCAAGTTTCGTGCGGTTTTGGGGTCGATTTCTTTTGCCCTTCGCATGAGCTTTCCACCAGGAAAGCACCTCTGGGACTACTATGCTGGCAGCACAGTCTATGGCCTGGATGTGAACCCGCAAATGTATTGGGTAGCACTGGTTACCAGCAACTCCGTCCGGATCCTGAACCTGGAGCGCCTTGGGCAAGGCAAAAAGCTGACCTCGGATTCGTGAATCCAGTGGATTAGGGGCCCAAAAAAGGAATACGCTGATTACCTGGAGTCTCCCCGACCTTTCAAGCAAACTGGGCAGTGCAAAAAACCCGCAGGACAGGAGTTGATTGAGAGCCTCTCCTGACGAAGCCTCGCGAAAGCTAAAACGCAGGGCGCGAATGCCCGCGAAAGCTTGGGGCCAAAGTGGTTGAAGAGCCCGCCGCGAAAGCGTTTCGAAACGCATGTTTGCAGTTTCTGTGTTGCCCGCAAAAGCTCCGCAAAAGTGATCAGAACAAGACACATGCCCGTGAAAGTGAAACGTGTGCCCGCGAAAGCATCGCGAAAGGTTCCGCGAAAGCGGTGTGTTAGTAGAGGGTTTTATGCACCCTTTTTTCGGCAAGGCTCAATTGGGCTCACGACCACCGTGGGCAGAGGACCCGATTCCTGCAGCTACAGGCAGGAAAAGGATTCCCCCAAACAACTTGGAGGCCCAGAATCAACCGTCCACAGCCAAGGGACCGGTCGATTCCGCCCTGCACCTTCGAGCCCAAGGAGCCTTTGCCACTTGCCCGCCTGCTTTTTTGGTTGGACCGCAAACGCGTTTGGTTGAAGCGTACCGTTTTCGAATGAAGCATTGTACGGCTTTGGGTGGGATCAAATTTAGCTTCTCACTTTTGGTGCTCAAAAGCTCTCCGTTTGCAAGGCTTTATCTAAACTCACTGCCGTTTGAAGTTTGATAGCTTTCGTTTTGTTTTTCGTAGATTAGCAGACCAAAGCACCTATTAGCATGCGGTTCTGCTTTCGAGGCAGGTCATGCCAAGGTGATTCTACACTTGATATCATTGTAGTTGTAGCAAGGCGTCAATAAACCTTGATATCCAGCTTAGTAGAACCAAACATCGATGCGTACAGGATAGAGGACAAGGTTTGACAGGTGTTGAAACCCTCCCAGAGTCCCTTTCATTTTAACGAAGGGATGACTCCTTTCCATTGAAAAGGCCAATGTGAGACTTAAATAAGGGTATGAGTCCAAGTTATCAAGCAGTTTGAAGCTCCAATTGCAATCACTGAGGATCTAGGGGTAGCTTCCCGATTCTTTTTAGGGTTCAGTCTTTCTAGACCTCCGAAAACCCAGAACAAACTGGGTTTTATGAAAAGAATCGGGAGTCAAGCCGTAGAACAGCTTGAACTGTTTTGGATCCACTAAAGTGAGGCAAGATTAGTCCTTCTGTTTGGTTCAATAAGGCAACGGGAACATCCACAGGAAGTGGCCCCAAAACACCCGAAACAAGCAGTTTTCCTGTGGATTTTAACCTGTAGCCCGGTCAATCTCAGGCCGGAGTCCATCCCCTGGGCGACTTGCCTCAAGTGGCACCAAGACGGCAAGCGCCTTTTTGCGGGCCATTCCGACGGCACCATCTCCTTTTACGACGTCGTGGAGTAGTGACCCAAGAGCGACCGCAGTTGGCGCAATCGCAGAAAACCAAAGCAAACACTGGCTGTTTGCACATGTCCACGACACACAACGCGCTAGTACAAGCGCAATTCCGACCTCCAGCACGACTCCAACTGAAGTGATGATGCTGGGGACGGTTTCCGTGGGTTTTGGGGATTCTGTTCGCCAACTCAGGGTCACTTCTCACGGGTCTCAAAATCAGGGGGCGACCGAAATGGTTGGTCCTTTTTTGGTTCCCAAGAGCCAGCCATGTGACCTTGGCCTTCTTGATCCATTGCCGTCGCTTCCCCATCCGGAGAGCCTCGTGAATCTCGCTAGTTGCGTGGGTCAGGGGTGCGTAAATCCCAGCTCGTTGGCCAAAGTTGCCAGTTTGGAAAAAGCCCGTGAGAGTGGGTGCTTGGCCTCCGTGTTTTCCTTGCATTCCACAGCTGCAGAACTGCTTATGGTAAAGATGCGGGCAACACATGAGACTACAACTTCATTGGCAATGCTCTTCGATGAACAATGGCGAATCTTGCATCTCTTAACGACATTGGAGGTTGGAAAGCAAGCCTCACTTTGTCGAGGGCCTGTGTCATCCCATGTGCCACGGTTCATGACCAGGGTTTTTAGCCATGCCATGCTTGGAGTTGGCAGGGATGGGCATGGACATTGGTTGTTCTTTGGGTTTTTGACCCATAACCCTGGCCAGTTGCCGTGGCACATGTGGCCCGATGCAAAGCTGCCTGGGCCAGATAATTGCAGCGCCGACGGGAGCAAAGAGAGCGAAGGGCAAAGGGAGCAAAGGGCAAGGCCCTGACTGAGCCAGACCCCCGGGTCAGATGCGGATGGTTTTGATACCAAGATTGGTGTCTGAACTGTCACCCAGGCTGCCAGAGAGCGAGCGACACCGTTTCAGGGTTGGCCTTTCTTTTCGCCCAACATGGTGGGGACTGCGGGGACATTTGGTTGAGACATGCTTCAAAAAAGCACAGTTGTTCGCATTGCCCCAAAAAAAACACCTGGCCAATGGTGTAATGGATCCCTTGAGGAAGCTGAACTGAACTGGATTTTGACAGATTCCGCATTTCTGGCACAGATTGGGCCTTCATGTGTCCTCATTTTGTGTCAGGTCAGGCGATACTGATTTCATATGTGCACATGGTTTCATGCAGTTGAAACAAGGTCCGGTTCGCCTGGATTGCTTCGAACAGGAAGGGCAAAGATTGTTCAGAGGCCCTAGTCGCCTTTGAGGGACCCCCAAAGGTTCTTCAAAGAAGGGTGGTTGAACCAGGTGGGTGCATTTTTGTGTTGCCGGGGTTCCTTTTGAAGAAGAATCAAAGGCAAACCGGCGATTTCGAAGGTTACCCCATGTAGAGACGTTCAATTGCCAGACATCGCTCATGGAAAAGAGCTTCGGGAACACAGAAACAAGACAAACCCAGTGGTTCCATTGCAGGGTTCCAGTTTTTGACAACCCCAAGATAGACTTAAACCCTGGGATTCCCCTTCTGGGGGTAATCACCCAAGGAGGCGCGCCTGGCCGGGAAGTCGGCCATCGGCTGCGCCAGGCACTCAGTGCTGTTCAAACAAATGGATGTGCTGCGATTGTTTTTGTCACTTTGGGAGTTTGCTTGTTTGCTGGCTGGTGTTCTTTTTGTTTCTTGCTTATTTGCTGGTTTGCCTACTTTATTGCTTTGTCTTTTGCATGTTTGTGTTTGTGCTTGTTTGTCGTTGTTTGTTTTGTTTTGAAGGTTGTTTGTTTGCTTTGCTTGCTTGCTTGCGTGTGTCTTGCTTGCTTGCTTTCTCGCTTGGTTAGTTTTTGTCTGTCTGTCTGTTTGTCTGTTTGATGGTTTGTTTGTTTGTTTGTTTGTTTGTTTGTTTGTTTGTTTGTTTGTTTATGTGTCTATTTTGTTTCAATCTTATTTTTGTGTATGTGGTTGTTCGTTCGTGTGGGTGCTTGTTTCTTTCTTTCTTTCTTTCTTTCTTTCTTTCTTTCTTTCTTTCTTTCTTTGTGTTTGTTCAATTGCTTGATTGTTTTTGGGTGTGTGGTTGTTTGCGTTTGTTTGTTCATTTGGTCGGTTCGTCGGTCGGTGGGACGTTGTTTGTTGGTTTCTTTGTTCGTTAGTTTGGTTTGTTTCATTGTTTCTTTGTTTCTTTGCTTGGTTGTGAGTTTTCTGGTTGGTTGCGCTTTTTGTTTGTGTGATTGTGTGTGGGCGCGCGTCGGGCCAGTCAAGCTTGGGTAAAGTCGATCTTAGCTGAAGCAGATGTTTGCTTACCCATCCATTTACAGTGCCCAAGGGGTCATGTTTGCCCTGAGCGGGCTGTCCCTTTTAGGCAAGCCGTGGGGAAACTGTATGCGCCACCCATTAAAAGGGAAGGTTTCTTTTGGCGGTATGCCGAACTGGTCTGAAACATGCCAAGTTGAAGAATACTGAGTATTATGCATGTTTGAAAGGGAGAGATGCCAATGATGCACCGCCACTTATGCAGACATGTTTGGTCAGTAACCTTCATGAGGCATGCTTAGCTGAGAAGGGGTTCCTTGTGTGTAGTTTGCAAGGAGGAATCGTCATGTGCAGGGTAGACGTTGTCTGTCCACCGTTTCACATATTCATGAACTCGTGGCTAAGCAAAGCTTTCATCCATGAGGTTCTTTCCTTTTGCAACCATGACAGTTTGCATGTGTCAGGCGTTTGAGTTCTCCAAAGGTACCAAACCTCCAAACGCATCCGCGTTTGGCTCAAGCTGCCCGAGGGTTAAAAAGAAGTGCGTCCGCCATTGACTTGACGACGTTCGGTATTCTTTATCTTTTGGTGGCGACATTACTTGGATCAGGATTGGGATTGCTTGAAATCAAACACAGCGAGCTGTTCTTATCTTGATTCAACTGGTTGTCAGCCGTAAGCGGCTCTTAGCTGGTACTGGATTGCACAGCCACGGCCGACCAGGTGAACCTCCTCATTCCAGACGATTTGCGGGAGCTGTTCAAGTGGCAGAGATCTGGTAGAAGGGGCGCCAGTCAGAAAGCGAGCATACTGAGACAAGTCTTGGGAGCAGACGGGTGGGACCCAGATCGTGGAGTAATTTTACTTGATCCGGTTAAGCACTTGAACCTGCCAGTGGAGTTGTATTACTCAGTACCAACTGTCACTGAAGAATCGCAATCTGCAGCTGCATCTTCTTCGACAGCCGGGGACGCCGCTCCAAGGAACACCTTTGAAGTGCGATCTTTCAGGTTTCCGGAACCAGCACCTACAGCCGTTGCGCAAGAGCCACCGAAGGAGTGGGCGGGCCTTATTAATAAGACTGCTCAATTCGTGGCCGCACAGCCGACTGAGGAATCAAGGCAGGAATGTATCGATAGAACTCTTCGCGTGCAAGACCCAGCGAAGTATCGATTTCTGAAGGCAGAGGACGACCTGAACGTGTTTGTGGTGGCAGCATTGAAACTGGCAAATAGCTTAAGAGGAAGAGGGCGGAGGAGTCACAGCCATTGCGGCCTCAGATCAACCTGCCGGACGAGGTCAGGTATTACGCGCCGGCCGGTGAGGGGACCAGTGGTTCCGGGAGGTCCTGGAAGGACCTATTGTGTTCTGCGACTATCACCGGTGCTTGAATGGGCACAAGGACGCAGGCGCTCAAGCAAGGATTGCCAGTGAATACAACTGCGCTACTTGATCTGAAGTATTATTGCCCGGACTTGACAGCCGTTTGTACTTCATATCTGCACGCGGAATCAACTGGTCGACGACTTTATTCCGAACCATCAGACCTGCTCCGCGTTTGCAGCAATCCTTTCAACTCAGAGTGCGGCGGGCAGAGTTGGGGAGATAGCAACCATCAAAAGTCTGAAGATCCCTTTGCACAAGTGCTTTGTCATTGACGACAGTGGTGAAGTCATTGGGGAGGCAATTGCAGCCGGGATCACTTGCGCGCACGTGAAGTTGCATCGCAAGCCATCAGTCGGGGGCGACAAGCATCAGTTTGCTGACGCCCTGCGCATTGTTAGTTGTTGGGCACAAAGACTGGACAAAGATTGAGACTGCGCAAGGGAGTGAGGAAAAGGAGCGATGGCGAATTGGGAAGCTCGCAGTAGGTCGCATTTGGATGTTGATAGGGATCCTGATGAAACCCCTGTTCGAAGGCGTCAGCCTGTTGTGAGTGCATCCCAAGGGGCAGTTGCCCAGCAGCACACCTCTCCGGCAGAATCAATTGCAACATCATCTAGCAGTGATCCAGCAATGGAGCCAAGAAATTTGAACTAGTTCATGGAGAGGGCAGACCATAGAGTCAGCAGCAGCAGAATGCTGTGTACTACCAACAACAGCAAAATGTGTCATGTGACCCAGAGGTCCTTAACCTTGCTGTGCAGGCTTGTAATGAACTAGATGGTGTAAGGGCTCAAGCCACAGCGATCTACCATCAAGCTCAAACTGCCGCTGATAGCGCTCACAAGGAGAGGGACTACACTAGGGACCAAGCTCAGCAGTTGTGGACTGAAGCCCAAGGTACCGTGCAAAATGCGCATGCCCAAATCCAGGAAAAGGATAGGATGCTAATCGTGGCAAAATCCCAGTTTGATCACACGCAGCAACAATTGCAATTGCTGGTGTGAAAAATCAAGGAACAGGAAGTCATGATTCAAAGCATGCAGTATGGTGCCCCCCAGCAACTCATCCATCATGGCACGGACCAGTACCGTATGCGAAGGAACCGCAAATGGCCGGTGCGTGTGACCCATCTTTGGTGCAGGAACCCTCAAAGGCCGGCACTAAGGATGACAAATCAAAGTCCGTGACGGTGAAAAGCATAAAAGCTCCACCGGGAAGCACTGTAAGGAAAGTTCTGATGTTCAGGAACCAAACATGGCTGGATCATCGGGGCTTGGGAGAGGTGATCCAAGCCAAGGCATTGAGGCAGCCCTCCGTTTCCTAATCGCTAAGGTCGAAAACCTGACTGGGGAAAAGCAACAATGGACTCGTGGCGCTCATGCTCAGTCTTATGGCGACAAATCTAGATCGCGTGATCAGGCCACGGCCGAACCGCGATAGCAGGTCCCAGAAGCACACCTCAAAATCCTCGAAGGGATGCTCTTCTAAGAGCCCTGCTAGCCGAAGTGATGAAAGTGAATCTGAGTCTGATGCGAATCCATCCTCAGGATCTTCTTCAAGTTCATCGAGTTCAATCAGCTCAGGTGGGAAAGGAGGGGGTGGAGGGAGTAGCAAAGATTCTCCCAGTGATTCCGAAAGTGGTTCTCAAAGTGATGATCTTTACCGCAAGGGAAAGAGGCTGATGCGAGTATGAAACTTTCAAGATTCGTGCACTTCCAAAAAACGCTGCTGAAGCAAGGGGTTTTAGGAATCAGCTGTACAGCAACATCACAAAGCTGGCAAAGGGCGATGAAGCACCCGTGTTCAAATGGATCGATAGGTGCCACCGCGAAGACGATGTGCCGAAGTTGAAGGATTCCGGTAACTATCCGTCCTTTGTTGGATCGAACTTTGGGTCATCGATTGTTGGAGCAAGCGAACGGTTCTCGTTTTTCCATGGACTTCCAATCTTTGCAGGAGAAAGCTCAGAAAAAGGGCCCGCCAGCCAAAAGTAACCAAAAGCCCTTGTGGCATGTTCTTGTGAAGTACAAACTTGATCGCGACAGAGGCACCTGTTTGACTCAGCATCACTTGTTGTCCTTGAAAAACTCGGGCAAGGATGTGAAAGCATGGGAGAACTTTAGGACTAAGTATGACTTCGTGTTCAATTCGAAGAGCGAAAGCTCACTTAGGACTCACTTGTTCGAAGAGCTCAAAGAGCATCCTCTAATGCTGCTGCAGGTCGACAAGTTGAGGTGTGCCAAACCCGGATCTCACAAGAGGGCTTCCAACTGGCTGTGTGACAAAATTGGTGAAGCCATTGACATTGCCCAGGTGGAAGAAAATACTTCTTGTGTTGACAAGTCGCTAGGAGGTGGCCAAAATCAAAAGGTCTCTGCGAACACCAAAGAGGATAAGAAGGAAAAGCCGAAAGGATCTAAGGAAAATCCCAAGAAGGATGACAACCCCAAGAAAGGGGGTGAGTCCAAAAAGGATTCAAGCAAACAGGACAAGGGGGAAAAGGCACCCAAGAATGGGGGCAAAAGCGCCTCTGCTGCCCCTGCACCCCCAACTCCGAAGAAGAATCAGCAGAAAAGATCCGGAAAGGGGACCCCTGGGACTCCAAGGACAAAGGAAGAGAAAGCGAAGATGCTGTGCATGTACTTCGCCTTTGATAGCTGCACAAAAGACAAGTGCGTTTATCTGCATGACAAGAATAACCTGCTTCAAGAACCACAAGCCCTGCAATGCCCACTTGTGCTTTCAAGCAGCATGATCACGCGCCAAGTGATCAACCCGAGCCTGAACTCGAGAGCGCAGTGTTTGCAGGTGTGCATCACCTGATAGAAGGCGAGATTGGCACAACCATGTTGGCCATCAGGAAGCCATTGACAGGAGGCAAATGGCTCAATGGCAAACCAAACTTGGTCCTATGATGAAGTGGTTCCAAGGGATGTCTTGCTTGCCAGAAAAGAACCCTAAACATTGGCAGACTCATGTTAGACGGCTGAAAGCCAGAATTGTTTTCGAGGTGATGACATTCGTCTAATAACCTAGCGGTCCTACAGGATCTCAAGGTAAGCCCCACAGGTTTGACTCGGATAAATGTGAATTTGTTTTATGGATCTTGTGAAGGGAATGTTTCTCAAATGTCAGACGTTGTGCAGGTCTACACCCAAAGTGATTTGCTCACTAAAGTTCCTACATGGGTGGAATTGTCTATGGAACTAACGCCCAAGGAGTTCCAACATATACAGCGGCCTTGTGTCAGGCTACGCCGTAGCTGGCATGGGCATCCAGAAGCCGGTTTCCACTGGGATGCTAAATTCAAGAAAGTGATGGCGTCACTAGGAGGACAAATTCTTGACACTCAAAAAGGAACGCCTTTTAATGACCTTTTATACCGACGACATGGTTTTGTCGACAGGAGGTGGAGCGTTTCTGGACCAAAATTGAGGAACATCTTGAAATAGATCCGCCGACTGCAGTGGATCGCATTCTGGGTCGTAAGCATGTCTATGATTACTCTGATGGAAAAACCACTATCTTTTACGATATGGTAGATTTCTGCCGTTCGTCATGCAATCTGTATGTGGAGCTATCAAAGAGAGTCCCCAAAGAAGCTTCCACTCCTTTTGTGCCAGACGGTGCAAGTGTGAACACAGATTGGGACGAGAAGGGTGCTCTAAGTACATGCGCCAGTCGGTTGCTCATGAACATTTTGTGGTGCGCCAGGTTGGCCAGGCCGGAGCTTGGCAGACGACAAAAGGTTGTTCAGACTTATGTGTTACTTCTATACAACTCCACATCTCTCATTGAAGAGTTGGATGGGTGACCCTTTCGAGTCGCTAAGTCTAAACTTGTTCACTGATGCGGATCATGCATCAGAGACTGAGCATTCCAAGTCGACGAGCGGAATGGTTCTGGCTCTTCAAGGGCCGAACTCATTCTTCCCATTGACATGGGCAAGCCGGAGACAAACCGCATCGTCACGATCCACAACTGAAGACGAAATTATCTCTTTGGACGCCGACATATTTGGTGAAGCGTTGCCTGTTCAAGAGTTGTGCGAGATACTTGCCAATAAGCCGATTGATCTGACTGGTCACCAAGACAATTCAGCGGTCATAGCAATCGCCCACTCAGGGTACTCCGAGAATCAGGCACTTGTCAAATGCTCACAAGATAGACTTAGGTTCCTTGTATGAAGTTTTGCAAGATGATCATGCCCAGTTGACATACATTGCAACTGATCAGCAACTAGCTGACATCTTCACTAAGGCTCTTGCACCAGCTGCACTGAACTTGCTGCATATGCAATACCTTCCTTCCCAGAACGCAGGAAGGGGGAGTTCAAGAATACTGAGTATCATGCATGTTTGAAAGCGAGAGATGCCAATGATGCACCACCACTTTTGCAGACATGCTTGGTCAGTAACCTTCAGGAGGCATGCTTAGCTGAGAAGGGGTTCCTTGTGTGTAGTTTGCTAGGAGGAATCGTCATGTGTAGGGTAGACGTTGTTTGTCCACCGTTTCACATATTCATGAACTTGTGGTTAAGCAAAGCTTTCATCCATGATTCATTCCTTTTGCAACCATGACAGTTTGCATGTGTCAGGATTTCAGTTCTCCAAAGGTGCCAAACCTGCACACCCATCCGCGTTTGGCTCACCATTGACTTGACGACGTACGGTATTCTTTATCTTTTGGTGGCAACATAACTTGGATCAGGATTGGGATTGCCTGAAATCAAACACAGATCTTGATTCAACTAAGGTTTCTTTTGGCGGTATGCCGAACTGTTCCGGAACATGCCAGACCCTTGGAGAGATGTGGGGTTCTCACTTGTACTGTAAAGGTGGTCTTAGAGCCGGAGCTGCCAAGACTTGTGCTGGAAAGTTGCGATTTTCCAGCCGGAGGTGCCAAAGTGCACTTCGACGCTTGGACTGAACAGCTGCCCGCGTAGGCTTGGGCGTGCGCACCTGGAAGCTGACTTGCGCTCGCGTAGCCAGCAGCGTAGGCGCGCGGAGGCTTCCGCGTAGGCATGCAAGTAGTGTATAGGCCCCGAACCACCAAAAGCAACACTGCTCATTTGACTTCCTTGTTTGGCCCGGGCTTCTGAGTCCAGAATAATGACAGCTTCAAAATACCTTGCATACCTGGTAGTTTAGGCGAATCAGAATGTGTCCGGGGCACATATGCCCCCCCCCCCCCGAAGCCAGTCACGACCAGAGCATTGGGCCTTTAGGCCCCTCAAAATTTGCAGATCTCAAGCTTGTCACCTTGGACAGCTGTTTTGGAGCAGTTAACACCCCACAGTTTGTTCCGAAACCTGACAGGGCGAAGGTACTGAGTAGGCAGTTGGTGACCATGTCGAAGGCCCATCAGCCGATGCCAAGCCTTACCAGTGCTCTCTTACCAAGTGCCGTGCCTCTGCAATTTGTACCAAGTGACGCCTGGTGGGCTGGTCTGGCCCCCAAAACGGAGCCGTGCCAACAACCAAGTCGGAGGACTTGTCACCCCTCGCCGCCTTTGTGGCCGCGCAGCACGCAGATGTGGAGGAGCGGAACCAAGACCTGTCGGGTGGTGCGGGATCCATCAACGATGTGACCATGGGTCCCTTCTCTTTGGCTGGTTTAGGTCCATGGACCATGGTAGGTAGCTTTCTTGGAAAAGCCTCTGATCATGATCCCCATTTAACAACTTCCAGAAAGGGTCCCTATGCTTCCCTGTTCGAGGGATGAAAACCATTGTTTTGGAGCTATATTAGTTGTTTTTGAGCCGGGTGATGCTTCAAGGAGACACAAAATCATCATGTTTTTCTGGGTTGATCAGTCCGGAAACTATTTAGCCCGATTTGATGGCAAACATGGTCGGTCTTGCATAAATTCCTCGGACACAAACTTTTATGGCTGTGTGTGACAATACGGAAGGTCAATGGTGTTTGTGCGTTCAGGGGTCAACACCAGTCCAGTCGGACTCCAACGCAAATGGATGTTGTGGGGTAAACGTGAAATGCGGCCTAGAGTGTGCGGACCAACAGTGATACAATAAAAACCTGACCAGATGGTTTCAGCCGCTACAGTTGTTCAGTTGTTGCTTTGTTTTTCGCGGAGTGTGTCCATGACCGCAGGCAAGCAGGTAGCGAACGAGTTGCACACCCTGTGATGTGTTTGCCATGCCTTAGCTTACACTTGCAATACTTCAGAAATCCAACTTAGAGATGATTGCTGACTGTCAGCGAAAAGTGCAGCAATCAATCAAGCAGCTGATGTCCAAAGACAACAGCCCCGCCTTATCCCCAACAAAGCAGCTTGGCAAGCAGGATTGGTTCCGTAGATTAAAATTTCTGGTGGTCTTAAACGTCACCTTTTGGCCGAGGGAATTATCGGGAGCCCTAGCTTCGGCCGAAGGAGGTGGATCTTGACAGGCTGGTGGCAGCGGCCCGCCAGCTAGCCACTGCGCATCTGCCGCTCGGGTTCAGCAAAAACACCGCGAGTAGCTGGAGTTTCCTGGGGGGAAGCCGCAGGCGCCTTTGTGTCTTTCCAAGTGGATGTGTGTAAACATAGGGGGATCCCAAAATGGCCGGTTTCCTTTGGAGTCCTTTTAAATCTAGAAAAGCAATGTGTCCCTGCAGGCGAAGCCTTGTCGCTGAATCCGCTACGAATGACTGGGCCCAACTCATTTTTCTTCCAGAGCTAAGCTTCACGTTCTGGGCCGACCCCAGCTGTGCTCGTATCAGCGGGAGCCTCACACAGCTTTGCCTGCGTACCCCGCGCTATCTCTCCAGCCTATACTTGGGAGTTCCTTGCAATGCGGGTTTCTAAGCCTGCAAAGGGGGGGGGAGCTGATTTGGACAAGAACTGAAGTAAAATCCGCTGGTAGGCCGATGAGCCCGGTTGAGAAACTTGTTCCCCACAGCATTAGTTAAATACCATTGAGGGGCGTGAGGACTCCGGATGTACCTATTCAGGAGGAAAGTACCCCTTTCCGATGTGCCATGCTGATCATGCTGGTTTCCGGGAAGCAGATTTCCCGAGTGTTCGCCACGGCGCTTCTTCCCTTTGAACACCGCTGGCTGAACGCGCTGACGCACAATGAAAGGTGCCAACGTTCGAAGGCATGAGTTGGACACGTTAGTTGTTCCTCCCATGGCAAGTTGTTTTTGAATCCATTCGGCCAAGTATATGTTGTTTGAGACTCAAAGTAATTTAGTATTCTTGTCGTCGACCTCGTTGGACGCCTTTTGGCGTCCCAACAAAGACACATTCAAGTCAGCGTCGCCCCTTTTTGTTGGTTGGCTGTTGCGAGAAGCAAGTTGGGTGCGTATACTCTGGGAGACCCCCCTCCCCAAAAAATAGAAAATCGAATTGTGTGGTTCCTTTCGGTTTCCCTTTGTCGCCAACCACAGAGGGGTTCCCCCCGCCAACAAAAATCACAAGCAAAAGAAAGCAAACAGACATAAAGTCATAATGGCGGTTTTCCTTCCGGTTTCCCTTTAACACCCACCAAACAGAAGTTCCCCCTCGGGTAAAAAAACAAAGCGTGGAACACCCACTTGAAGCGCGTTGTCAGGGACTTCCAGAGCCTCAAGGCTGGGCTGCTGGAGGTCAAGGACAAGGCCGGAAGTCCGGGCTGCGGTAGCCCCCCGACCCTGAAGCATGCCAGATGGCTTACGCCTTCTTGGCAGACCCTAGGTTGGAAACCCAACTGCTGAGACGCTGGCATGCAACAAAGCAGGCAGTCAAGCAAGGATCTTGCGCCGGCGCTTACGCAGCATGCTTCCCCAGAAAGTGTTTTCGCCGTCTTTTGCCATGCAGGGTTGAGCTTATGCGGAGCCTTACCATCGAAACATTTGATCACATGCACACGCAAATTCACAGGCGCAGGTTCTGAAGAAATACGAGTTCCTCATATGGGCATGAGTTGTAATCAGGGACCCTTGAGTGGACATCATTTGAGAGGGGATTAACGTCCACCAAACATTTTGGAGGTGGTTCCTTGATAGATTTCATTCATGGCCATATGTCCCCTTCAAACATTTCCCCACGAAACGTAACGCGTTGTAGAATGGCCCAATACTCGGCGCTTAAGACAACTTAAAATGGCAGAATAGAAGGAGCCCTGTGAGTCTGCATGGTCGCAATTGAGCGAGTTCCCCATGCCTCTCCTTGATTCACCATAGACTAATGTTAGCCCATGAGTTGTTATATCAACATGGTCGCTTAAAAACTGAGGGTGCGCAGCCCATGTTAGAGGGGAGTCAGAGCACTTTTGCAAACGACTGCCTTTTGCACTCGATCGGTTTGTCTCGAAATAGGGGACCCCCCCAAACATATATATATATATATATTATATATATATATTTATGTGTATATATATACATAATTATATATAATATATGTTTGCGTCCTTTTGAATTCCGGTCCCTACTAATTCCAGACACGCCCCTATTGACCTGCCGGGGTCTATTGGGTTCATCGCGCAAGCAAAAAGGTGTGTGCCACTGGGCAATGGGGCAACGCGAGCGAAATTGGCGAATATTGGGGAGCAGTGTCCAGCACCTTTTCCAGCCTTTGCCATGATCATTCCCCAATCCCCAAAATGAAAATCTGAGTAATCCCGTGCTAGGCTCCAATTGAATTGCCGCCTGTTTCTTGATTCGGGCATTGCAGTCAAGTGCATTGTGCGGGATGTTGAAAATGGAGGGCTAGTCAGTCAGTCCTGGTGCCTATTTCCTTGAACACAAAGCTCGCATAGCACGGCTGCACGCTCGCCCACGCCATGATGTCGCAAAAGTCAATCCTTGATCTGCAATGGAGGCAACACGAACTCTGGAGTCAAAGTTGTGGGCCAAATCCACAGCGCTTAGCAAGCGGCTAAAAAGTGAAGACCCCGAAGAGAGCAACAGCACCAAGTTGCTCCGCCTGAAGACATGTTTCATCAACTTCCTCCTCAGAGTCATCCATGTTATCTTGAACAATGGCGTCTGCGTCTATTATAGAAAGAGTTATCCTAATTCAAGATCACGCGACTGTTTTGGGGTCTTCAATAGTAGAATGTCCACCCCCCCTCCCCCCCTAACAAACAATGATAAAATGATAAGACCATAAATCCCGGACGATGCGATCCACGCCATGAGAGCAAGTCCCAGCAATAAAAACATATCAAGCCTTAGTCTGTTACTTTGTCAGGGTTTATCCAAGTCCTTCGCTTTAATGTCAAGCTATGTTTTTGGGATGTTCACATGCAGTTCAAAGCCTCATGCTTGCCCTTGTGCTTTTGAAGGTTATTTCATTTGACGAAGCTTCCAGCTCAAATTTCAAAGGCGTTCGATGCAGGAAACTCAATTTTGGAAGTGGCCCCAAACCATGAATTCAAGATAGCTTCTTTATATCGAAACAAACAAAAACAACAAGCCTGCCCAAACAGTCACACCAAGGAGGGCACCCAGCGATCCTGTCTAAATGGCTGTTTGGGGTCCATTCTAACGTCAACCTTTTTATACCTTTTTTGGGTGGGAACAACTGGCAATACTAAATTCAGAATTTGCAGTTCTAAATTAAGCTGGGAACCCGAGACGAGAGTAATGCTAAGGTAAGTACTGGAAATCTGAGAGTAAGAGTTGGAAATGCTATATTTGGAATCGGCAATACTAAATTCAACACTTGGAATCTGAGAGTAAGTCTTGGCAATACTACGTTTAGAATAAGGATATTTGATTATGCGGTGGGAATCTGAAAGCAAGTCTGGGCAATACTAAATTTAGAAATTGGCACTTCTTAGGAACGCACTTGGAATCTGAGAGCCGTGTTTGGCACCACTACGTGAAGCATTGGCAATACTAAATTGAGCACTAGCAAGTCCAAGTCCCACTCAGACCCGCCTTGTTCCAATTCAGACGGTGTCCAGCATCAAGCAAGTCTTGAGGAAACACTCAAACCGCCCACAAAGCAACGCGGAAGCTTGACATGCTTGCTGGTCGAGTAGCCGACAAGACTCATGGCCGGAGGCCCTCCGGCGGGCCTTACGCTTCTGCTTGCTGGTGGCTTCCCAGGACGGGCCACTTGGCCGCAGGCCCGCTTACGAATGGATCTCCCGTTATTGGTTGTTCCCTCCATTTTCGGTTTGGCAGGCCCCTTCGCTTTTTTAGCACCCCTAAAAGGGCTCCGATTCTTTTTCTTCCAGGGTCACTGCGGGAACTGAAGAATTCAAGTCATTTGGGTGTGGCTTCAAGTTTCGAGTTGAGACCCTTTTCTTGGCTTCAGTTTTGCCACCGAAGCCAAGGGACAACTCTCATGGCCTCCCGGCCCGGCAATTTGAGATCCGGTCCCGGCTCAGGGAGCCCTCTTCGTTCATGGGGATGGCCATGCAAAGCGTTGACAGAACACGTGCGTTCCGTGTTTCTATGTGTTTCTTGAAATTATTTTTGGCTTGCCGTCTGCGAAGAAAAGGGGATCCGCCTTCTTTAGAAGCACAGCTAGCCATATATTTGAAATCATGTTCTGTCTGGATAAAACTATACTGTTGGGCAATTTCCTGTACCACCCAAGACACCCTGGAGTAACGATTCCCCCTATAAATATCAACACACGTTATGGTGTCCACCATTGCTTTATTCGGTGTGCCATTTTGGATTTCGCCACCCATGCGCCGCACGTGGCATCCACTCGCGCTTGGGCTAGGCCCAACTCGGCCGAGCGCTTCCTCAGCAGCTCCCAGCTCTTTGCAGCGCGGCTCCGCCGCCTCCGGGCCGCGGCGGCCGCGGCGGCCGCGGCGGCGTCGGCGGCTTCGGTGGTGCGGGGCGACAACCGGGCGCCCGGGTCGCCGGGAAGGGGGGGAGAGCCATCTCCCGATTTGGCCAAAGGGTTTTTATTGGCGCAACTTCCAAAAGCCCAAACTTCCTGGCCGAGGTCGCCAAGAGAGTGTCCACCATATTGAAATATATTTCCCACTGCTTCAGTGGCATGCTCAAAGCGGGTTGCTAATGGTTTGCTCCAGAGTCTCTCAGTACCAGCGCCACTGGCCATTTTTTAATTGTGGAAACGTTCAAACGGGCAAGTGTTGGAGACATCCAGAAAGACAATGAACAGCATGTTTGCTATTCTTAAATGGGGAAGCATCTAATTAGACAACCTCATGTACAGGAACGTTTTCGTCACTTTGAGCCCCAAGACAAAGGTGGAGAATCCTCGCATGGGGCGTGTGGAGGGCCAAGTTCAGGATCCTACACTTTGTGCCGGGGGGAACCCGTCTCCAGCCCCATGGCCCCATGGATCCAACAAGCAAGCGGAGCCACGGGAAGTCCATGGCCCTAACAGGTCCTTGAGGCTCCTAGGCACGTTGTCACTATGCTGTTTTGTTGTTTCTGTGCTGGAATTGAGGATTGCTTAGTTGAGGTTGGTGACGGTTGGCAATCAGTGTAGACATGTGAACCCCATAGTTTATCTTGCAAGGGGTTCATTAAGCGTGTCTTCTTTGAGGGGACCCTGTGCTACTGTTGGTGCCCTTAAAACCATTCAACCAGAGGTATGTAAAAAACAAAGACCCATATGGGTTGATACAACCAGCCGAGCGTGGTCAGGCAGAATAGTCGCAAAGCCTTTTCGGAACAGGGTATGCGGCCATCCGAGCCACGCCCGACCCCCCTATTCGCTGTTTCAGTAGGTGGTTGCACTACTTGGCTTATACTTATTTCGGGTTACAGCAAAGCCTAAACCTGTATAATCATGTTAGTAGAATCAAATGTCAATGGTTTTGGGTTCTGCTCAATTGGGTTGATTTTGTTGGGTCCCACTCTGTGCTTCTCTGCTTTGCTGTGAGGGCGAACTGACAAATGGAAAGCATTGCAAATCCTTGGGATGGAAGGCGGGAAAGCCAAAAGGACACCAACATAATTAACATAGTTACTTCACGACAAATTATCATGAAACCCAAAAGCAGGGTTCCCCCCAGAGGAGATTCCTCTACCATGTCAATATGCAGGAGAGTAAAACCGTTTGGAGGGGTCAATCTAAAGTTGGTGCCAGCCGCCCATCCGCTGTGAAGTTTTGAGTTTCAAGGGGTCCTGAGCTAACCCTCTCTCCAACCCATAGAAGCTGACAGGTTTTGGCAGACGACCTTCCTTTTGGGGGACCTGCCCACTTCCATGAATGGAAAGATGGTGTTTGGCAAGAGCTCGCGAAGGGTTTCGGCTTGTGACCAGTAGCCGGGCTACTGTGGATGTGCAAAAACGCCACTTCGCAACAGTTGGGATGAATGAAGCTCCAGGGATGCTGGGGGAAAAAAACACTTACCACATGATGCAGGTTCTGTCCATCTACCGTGAGTTTCCCTGTTGGATCATGTGACCTTTTTGGTCAAGTTGAGGGTCCTCTTTCTGGGTGGTTCAAGCATCACCCTCTTCACCAAGTTGCGGAGAGCGTGGGTGATGTTTGCGGGGAATCCCTCAGCCATGGTTCGCCATTTGTGTTGTCATTTTTGGTCGGGACTTGATCAATGGCCCACCTGAAGGGGCAAGGTACTTGCTCTCTATGCTGACCGACTTATGGGACTTACAACCAGGTGGGTTATATCCATGGTTAACCACTTGCTAAGCAATGTTGACCCCAGATTAACAGACCCGGGTGGTCCTCTCCAGAAATGATGGTTCCCCACCAAACCCACATCAGTTTGGTGGGGATTCATGTGCACCAACCATTTCTGAGGTGCTGCTTTCCCAGTTTAGATCATGCCCATGTCCCTTATATCAAAGCGGTGTATCCAAAGCCGTGTGCAAAATGTTGCCCATGGCTGGGTGGGACAGCCCCCTAACCTTCATCTGGGCGTTTCTCAAGTTTTTTCTTTCTGCTTGCATGGTGCAGGGACGCCACATGGGCTGTAAATCCGGCCCCTCAAAGCACACCAGGTTGTGGCTCTCTCAGGACCTTTTGCTTGCAGAGCCCGTGGACGCCGTCATTACCAGCCCGCCCTACCCTGGGGTTTACAACTACATGGCCGCCGCTGCGTCAGCTGCTTCTGCCTTGGGCTTTAGGCCAGGAATTTGCCCACCCGAAGCACTGAGAGCTTCTTGGTGTCCTTTGGAGTATTGACTTGTGAATTGTCAGTGCAAGGGGTCGCCATCCTCCAATTGTTTGGGAGGCACATCTCACTCGGTGAAAGGACAGTGATATCCATGGGGAGACCTTCGATTGCACGCGGAATGTAAGGGTCTATGCTTGTCTTAAAGGCCATGGCTACCAGCAGCACTTGATTTCATGCCCGAGGAAATTACAAAATAGGAACCACGGCAATAGTTCTTTGCAATTCTCTTTAAACCACCAAACGGCGCTCCAGTTCTCCAACTCCTGCACAAATGTCAACCCTTTCGTCAGATGACTTAATTACTGGCTTGTTGATGTAGTTCTTTCCCCAGGCGCGGGTTCATCGTTGCTCACGGGGCAAAAAGATGACGCGGCGACGCTAGACAACTCCCGATTGATTTGGGCAAGAGGAGCGTGTTGGCTTCGTCGCACCAGAAGCCTCAACCCTGCATTCAAAGCTATTGGCCCAGTTGCGCTTTCTTAAGAGCGCGAAGGCAACCTTACTCAAGAAGGATCCTTGGCCGCTCACTGCGAGGGCACACATCTCTTGTCACGCTCGCGCTTGCATTCTTTCTGTGGGTTTGTTTTGGTCACAGGCGCTGCTGCTCCACTGCTGCTCCCATTTTGACGTTGCTTGTAGCTTTGGATGAGCCTTTGCTTCCAACCAGCAGCTCATGCTGTGAGCCGCACAACTATTTTTTTGATGTCGTGTCTGGTGTAAGGTTCTTGGTTGCCACTTTGGGCAGCATCAACCTTGGCCAACCTGCTTTTAGACCCCATGAACATTTACGTCCAACCTTTTTCGGGCGCCGATTTTCAGACACCCCCATGACACCCGACCCATGTTGTGACCCGGAGGGCCGAGCAAGCTAGCGCAGAGATCGGGTGCCGAGTCGGCTGGCGCAAGGAGAGCTTTCAAGTGCCTTCGATCCGATCCGATTGGGGGGGCACTGTGCTGGTGATGTTTTCTCTTTTTTTGTTGGGGTTCCCTTTGAGATCAGCCACCAACAAAAAAGAGTGCCCCTGCCTTATTTTGTTGTGGCCACTGCGATCTGGGATATGGGCATGAATCGTAGTTGGGCACCCTTTGGTGAATATCATCTAGGTGGTGATGGGTGTGCACCACCCGCTGTTGAGGGGGGGCCTATGGAGGCCTACTACATTCGTGGCCATGTGTGTGTGTGGGGGTCCGCGTGTGCGAGTTCTTTGACACAACCCTTTTCAAGGTTGGTTAAAGGGCAACTTTGTCCAGCTTCACCCACAGAAGCGACAGGGCTGTGGGTGTCTCCAGGATGAGGTTCAGGCTAGACTGTCCGCTGAGAAGAGTTTAAGCATGTTTGAGGTGGTATTCACGAGGAAGCCCACCATTTGCACGGTCCCCTGAAAATAGACACACCCAACCTGTACATGACTCATCATGTGCCATCCTGCTGCCTTTAGGACAATACTGGCACCTAAAACGCTTGGAGTGCATTGCGGGTATCCTCGTGATTTGATCCTCAAGCCATGAGATGCCATGAGCCTGTACCGCCACTTTCCATGGGCAGAAGTTCCCCGTTTAGCCGGTGTCCTGTTGAGATCTTTTAAGAGGTTCCTGCAGAAACAGATGTTGCATGTCAAGCTGCCCGGGCTTTCGCGGGGCGCTTCCCGACAGCGCTCCGATGCATTCATTCACCAGCTTTTGAAATGAGTTGTTGGCAATGTCATGGGGGGACAAGAAGTTCAAGAAGTTTGGGCTTCGGCACGCAATCTACTCACTTGTGCAGTAGGGACAGCCCCCAGCCATAAATGAGTGTGATCTCGTATAAGTAGTATTTTGTTTTGGTCTAGTTTCTTAGTTCTATCAAAGTACTACTAGTCTTGGTCTTAGTACAAAACATAGTTTTCTAGTTTCTTAGTTTCTATTCTGGTTCGGGTGAATTGCTCAGAACACTTGGAGAACACTTGGAGCGTTCCTTTCTTTTCTTGGGACCGTGAAGGTTCCAAGGCCGTTCTCCTGAAAGTCCGGAGTTCCAAGCGGAGGGTCAGCGAAGCCGGAGGCAAAGTCCATCCACACCCAGCCTGTGAAAGCTAAGCGGCTCCTTTGTAAGGCTTTCCCAAAAGGAAGCTAGTCGTTTACCAGATCCTCGGCTTCAATTCGAAGGGTATGTTTCCCCGTAAGCACCCCCAAGAAATATAAATGGCAGAGTTTCGAGGCTGGTCGTGTGACCAAAACAGCGTCTCTTTAGACCTGAAACTTACTCAGTGGTGCGATAAGTAGGGAACGTCGGAATGAATCTGGGGATTCCCAAGGAAACAGCCAGTTGGAGAGCAGAATGATTTATGATGGTCATTCCATTTCTCTTGTCCTTTCTATCGCACCAGTACGCTTAACAACTGTTCTATCAAACAAAAGACATCGACCGAGAAAAAGAGCGAGCAACAGAGTGAGCTCCTCACTTTGTTGGTTCGGAAGCGCAACATATTTTTGCTTTTCGGGCCAAGCCTCTTAAGTGAGACTCATGTCATCTTTTGTTTTGCTTAGGACTTTGCGGCAGCTTGGCAGCTGGAGCAAGAGCAATGGCTACAGGCGGCTTTCAAGAACCTGGCCCCGGGAGGCGGGAGAGCCCGTTTTCTCCAGCGTCCTCATCCCCTTTTGGTTTGGGTGTCCCTCTAAAGATGGTGACTACTCAAACAGAGATGGTTTTTGCGGGGGGCTGTTTGTTCCCAAACAAGTGCTCCGATTTTGGCTTCCAGGGCTTCCAGGAGAAGCATTTGATTAAAATTCATGGTTTTCACCCCTTTCTCGCCCAGCATAACACACATGGGTGGGCTCTAAATTGCAAATTATGCTTACGGCCGCCTTTTAGGCTTTGGGCCGGGCCCAACGCTGACCAGTGCTTCCAGAGCGGAGCTTCTGCAATGCGTGCCAAGATTGATCAGACGTTGAACCAGTGCCATGTCCTTTGCACAGCTTCAATCAAGATAAGAACCTGGAGCTGCCCGTGTTTGGATCAGCGATTCAGAGAGCCACACCAGCGTTCAACTTCAGCACCTTGCATGCTGGGGCATTGCAGTGCTTGACGAGTCAACATTTGGCAAATGGGTAGGTGGCAGCAATTGACTTCTCCCGCTTTGCCGTCAATGTGAAAGACATCTACGGAAAGCCTTGTTCTGCCTATATTCGAGGCATCATTGTTATTCAGAACAAAACATTGCATTAACTTGCATTAACATTGCTTTTACATAATACGGTGCCGTTGCCTTTCGTTACAGAGCATCAGGTTGCATTGGCTTACATTTATGTGTTGGGTATGTTTATTTAGGAGCACAGACTGATTTCACTTGTGCGTGTGTTGCTGGTGCTTGCCGGTCAATGGTTTTTTGCCATGGCTAGTGTGAGCTCGCCCCGTAGAGCTTTCGGAAAGAACTGGCTTTTCATGAAACCTGCAAACGGTGTACCTTTTGCTACGGGAGAAGCAAGAGAGTATCCAACCTGAGATCCTTGGCCCTGAGCAGAACATTCATGATGAGGTCGCCAGACCCCTCTACCAAGGTCTAAGCTTATTTGCAAGGCGGGGGAATTCGGTCCTCTAAAATGGCAAGGACTTGCTGTTTGGTCCACCTTTTTCTAGCAACCAAACCGGGCCCACCGTTTTGAGCAACTTCTTTCAAACTTTTTGACCAAGGTCCTGGGCAAGTCCAGTTTGTCAATGTCGAACCGAAACTCAGTGGCAGCTTTTATAGATTCAAGGGTTACCGGTTTGGGGCCCAAAAGGAAACAACAAACCGTCCAAGTGCGCTGCTCGCACATTTTCACGCTTGAACAGCCACACTGCGGATGCAATGGATGTAAAACCCCATACTGACCGATCAAATTCTTCACCCCCCTCTGCGTGTTAAAGGGGCCTTTCACAAAGCAGCCAAACAGTAACACAACAGAGGGAGAAGGTCAGGGGAACCATTGTTTCGTGCAAACCATGACAGTTGCGCTTTCAGCGCCACTGCCAAGTCGAATAGCTTCCGCTACTGTTACCCCATCCGCTCCGTTCGGACCAATTCTGCCAGCTGCCTTGGCTCCAATGCTCACCCTCGCGGGCGGCGGGAGCACTTGTCTCGGCATAGCGGGCTGCATTGCGAGCAAGGTGTTTGCTGCTCTCGTTCCTCGAAAATTCAATCGAGTTACGTGCATACCGCTCATTCTGGCTGAACATCCAGTCCATCTCGTTGCGGAGGTCGTCCAACGTGTTGCTTCGCAGATGGATGATGCCATTCCAACAACCGATGCTGCGAGGCTTGTCTTGCTCAAAAACCACGTTGATGAAAGCTCTCGATAAGGCATCCCTTGGAACATTATGATCCAGCGAGAGGAAAGCGCATCTTGGAGTTCGTTGGGCAGGAACTCCAACTCTGTCTTGATATACGCGAGCCTTGCGATTCGCGACTCCGAAGTTGATCCAAGGCCAACTCCCAGAGTGCGCTGGGCTTGCGACTGCTTTGGAGCAGCCAAGACGAGATTTGCGCTCAACTCCATGCGGAGCATGTCCGCCTCCCGACGGCCCACCTCAAGCATACGAACCCTGTATTGAAGGTCGAGTTCATAGCGGTCGAGCAGAGAGTGGTAGCCGTTCTTCAGGGCGGACTTGAGCTTCTTCCGTGCCTCCTGAATGACAGCACTGTCCAAGGAGTTCAAGCCACGAATGATGCTGCTACGATCCTCCTCGCGGAGGTCAAATGTTCCCACAGATGCCAGGACCTGAGCTGTGACGTGGGTGCTGAGGCCCATCTTCTTCAGCAGATTGGAACGCTGCACGATGTAATTCTTCTGTTGCTCTTTCAACAGGCGTGGATTGAGGGGAGACAACTGCCCACATGATGAGCAGTGCACCTGCCCCTCGAAGACACTGTTGTTGCAAACCGGGCACGTGGCGACGTTCAGCTCAACGTTCTCCATTGGGTTGAAAGATGTTGAAAGTCTTCTGTCTCTTCGCTTCCCCTTGCGGGGCGCGAGGAGAGGCCACATTTGTGCGCGTTGTAGCAATACGTTCCAGCGCTGTTGAACGATCATCAGCCACGGCTTGGTCGCGCTTCATTCCCTGGGGTTCATCCTCAGTCGCCTCAGCTGGTGCACCTGCATCCGATTGCTCGGAGCGAGTGTACCATACATCGCCATTTGTAGCGTCCAATACAGAAATAATCGTGTAGTTGGGCACCTTGTCGCGCGTAAGGACGCCGTCGCTCTCCGTCTTGAAAAAGCAAAGCCCTGCGCGAATGGCCATCCTGAGGTCGATCTGTATCTCCAGGGGTTTGTTCGCACGTACACCTGATATGTAATTTTCATTCGTGCTGGGGACGTCAGCGAAGAAAACGTGAGGTCGGCCTGTCTCGTGCTGGTCCCCTCCGCCTGGCAGTAGTCCGTTCCGCATGATATTAGCGAAATTTCGCTTATCAGTGCGGTGATAAAGCACAGTTGGAGGGTTGCTGCAAACGTTCCAGCCAGACCAGCGCCCGAGGTCAGTCCCCGGGTTCACGTACCACTCCTTCGCGATGCCGGAGTCGTCGATCTGGAGCCAGTCCTCATGGCCTTGAGAGGCCTTCAGCTTGAAAAGCCAATGAGAACATGGGACGTCTCCGCACCGGCTTGCGTCCGGGCAACCAAGGCCAACTTCATCAAAGGTCTTGTGAAACCTGAGGTACCATGGCGAATCGTTTCCATTCAACTGTGGCAGGATGTTGGTCGCAACTGCATTGTGCTGGATTGCAAATGGCCACATCGACAGTGGGAACCCTGACTGAACAAGATTCGCACGTGCTCCCTCCAACAGATGTCTGATCTCTCTTTCTACGAAAGATTTGGAAGAATCAACATATTCAATGGAGGTCTGATGACGGTACCCCAACTGCTCTATAGCGGCTTTCAGTTCCCGGGAGTTATCGGTGTAGAGAACCTCAACCTCATCCCTACCGGAAATGAAATGCTGGATCCCTGCAACGGATTGCTCCGTGCTTTTGCTGGTCGACGGGTAAACGTACCTGAACTGCGTATGCACGTCCTTGATCACAAGAGCACACCATTCACCTTTGATACCTTGCTCGATGTTGGCCTTGAGAATCACATGATCAGCAATGATGTGATCTCCAAACGCTTTCGTCTCGAGCCTTCCCTGCCCGCCCTTCGATCTTGCATATGGGGCAAGCATCTTGGCACGTTGGCAAGTGCGGCAAAAGGGATTCTTCGGATAGTGTGCAAACAAGTGCTCTTTGGTACTCGCTTCGGCAACCAGATCTTGCTCTTTGCGGGATCTCACAAACCGCTCAACTTCGTCGTCAGGATCATCACCTTCGTCGATGCCTTCGTCATGAACCGGTGCAGGCGCTGGCTTAGATGCTGCTACTGCACTCAACGATGGCTCGGCTTCACAGCTAGAATCCATGTATGGCACATGACCGTCAACCTTGAGCTGGATTAGAGCACCATCAGGGCGAACCATGGTTGGCGCCTTCCCGGATTCCCAATGGAAGGAATATCCTTGATCCAGACACTTCACACCCAGCGACAGCACTGCGGGAGAACTCTCGAGGATGTAAGGCTGAGCAGGCTCACGCAATGCATTGACATTGATGTCGGCGATTTCGGAAGCAGTGATGTTTCCGTTTGCAGTCACAAGGCGAATAGGCTGTGGGGCCTGTTTTCGGATTGCCTTGGGCGCATTCCTCAGTGCAGCTTTGCTGATGAGGTCCTGTTCACTACCGGAATCAATAAGCCACACGTCCTTTCCCTTTGGTGCAGGGGTGGCTGCCCTTGGCGCTTCGACATCCTTGCGAACATCGTGAGGCGGCATGGCAATTCTCAGGCACTCATCACATGACAGGCTTGAGATGGAATCGGATTCCACATCGCACATGAAACCACAAGCAGGCTGGGCTCCATTCTCAATGGCTTTGATTACGGCATTCAACTGATTCGCGGCCTTGCGTGCTGCCTTGTTCGTCCCTTTGGTCGGCCTGGGGCAGTCCTTGGCATTTGGAAACATCCTGTTGTACTGCCGTTCCTCGTACTCAAGCTTGAAACCATCGCCTTCGGCGGGGATCTCATGCACATGAGCATTGGTGTCAAACGACACCCCAATCGGATTGGTCGGCTTGGCAAACATGGCGTACCTAGTGCAGACTGCAGCGGCTTTGGCCTTGGGCTTAGGCTTAGGTGAATTTGCACGCTTCTTGGCCGCAGGATTTGCGTTGGCCTCGTTGCTCGATGCCGCGGCGGCAGATTTGCCGCCCGTGGAGGCATGGCTAAACTTGCATTTGTCACCTCTAGTGCACTTCCCTTGGGCAAAGAAAGAACACGGTGCTTTCTCTCCTTTATTGCCTTTGGGGGAACTTGGCCTGCCACGGGTCGCGGAGCGTCCTCGCGGCTCCTTGCGGTGCGCGTAAGTTTGCCCCCCTCGTGCACGAGGCCTTCTGGAAGTCAAAGCAGTACTTTTCCTCGGTGTCCTTCGGCTTAGGTGCTCTTTTTCTTGGGGTCCCTCTTTTCAGGGGCGGCAGCACCAGCCTTGGGCGTCGGGGCTTTACTGGCATTGACTTTGGACACGCGCTCTCGGTTTTCGCGAAGCCTATCCCTCTCGATTAGATCCCTCATGCAACGCATTAGGAAATCGTACGATTTGTTGGGATCATCATCACGGCAACGATCATATGTGTCAATGTCGTATCGCAACAGATGGCAGCTTCTCACTTGGCGAAGCAAGATGTCTTTCAACACCTTTTCTTCCGGCGGCCTTTTCATGCCGGCGATCACGGAATCCCAAGCGTTTAGGAAACGTTTGAGATCAATGATTCCTTCGCCGTGTCGCGAGACACGCAACAGGTCCTCCAAGGAGTAGAGGTTTCCGGCTTCTTCACTGGTCTTGAAATATTGGTCAAACATAAACAAGACCTGCCTTCCTCTCATGGCCTTTCCCTCCTTGGCACATTCTTCCTTGCTGTTAGGATTCGCTGAGCCAGATCGCCTTTCGCTGAACGCGTGAGCGCTGCGAGAATCTTCGTGTCTAGGGTCACGAATTTTCCCGGTTCGCCGAGCTCCTCCAACAGCTTCTTCTTGTCCTCGCGATCGGACCAGACTTCCATGATCCAAGGCCAAGCCTCGTCTGGACGGTCAGATGCAGCGCGGACATCCTCACGAACCGATGTCTTCCATTCACGGTACGTTTCAGGAGTTGGCATGTCCTTGAATCGCAACGTCTCGCTTTCGCGGGTTCTGGGCTTTTCATCGTTCGTGTGGCCTTTTACTAACTTCATCAACATTTTGGCGAATGCTTCTTGGCCGAGGTTAGGCCCGAGGCCATCACCTTCGTCTTCATCACCATCGCCATCGCCATCATCATCAGGTGGCGGACCGCCGGGAGGCTTACCACCCTGCTTGCGGTCATTTGACATTGGCCCCTGAGAGAATTGCAGGGGCGGGACCGGTGCACTTGTTTTCACCGGGGATCGGCTGCTACCTGATGGCTTATCCGCTGGTCCTTGCGGATCGCGAGCATCTGCGGGCAGTGCTTCGCATTCGGCAGTTGGAATCACACTAGGGGTATATTCAACCCCGTAACCGTCATAGGTAACAAGCGACCTCAACTTTTCCTTTGCATATTGAAATGGATGGGACAACGGGTCCAACATTGACCTTTGGGACCGAGCTGACTTCATGTCGTCGGTCATCAACTCTGGTGAATCCTCTCGGGTATCACCTACCCCTTTGGGCTTCGATCCATCCTCGCGGAGGTCGTGTTGCTTCTGATACCTCTTCAGCTCATCGAGCTCGTCCTGCAGAAGCCCGTTTTGGTGGGCCATCATGTCAATCGTCCTGGCGTTTTTCGCTTCAACACGGGCTGTGTCATCGGCGTGCTTGGCAGCTTGCTCATGAAGGAGCTGCTGGGCTTCCGCCAGGGTGGATTCGATGGCTTGCCTAAACTCAGTTGTTTTGTGTCCCATTTCCGCTTCATGCAATGCTTGGGCATTTTCCTCACACACTTGGCTTATCCTAGCTTCAGCGAAGTTCACTTCTTGGATGAACTCATCGCTCACTCGCTGTTCGTATTCACGAATTCTATGCGACTGGGCTTGCACACATTCAGCGTAGTGTGCATGCAGCTGATTCTGTGCGACACGGAGCTCCTCACGGTTTTCCGCTTGCAAATGCGTGACAGCTGCTTGATGCAGGGCTTCGGCTTCAGACCTAATGGCTGCATCATTCCCAAAAGCAAAGATTGCGGTATTGTACAGTTGAAGGGAATTCATCAGGGTGCGGTTGTACTGCGCATTAGCGCTTGATGCGAACATTCGCACACCGCCGCCGGTGGCGTTGTCGGAGCTAGCTCCGGCAGCATCCACAGGCATGTTGGATCCATCAACTGGCACAAGGGAACCGTCCATTGCTTAGAGCTAGGGGCCTACGGCTGATAACCTATAGATTCAAGGGTTACCGGTTTGGGGCCCAAAAGGAAACAACAAACCGTCCAAGTGCGCTGCTCGCACATTTTCACGCTTGAACAGCCACACTGCGGATGCAATGGATGTAAAACCCCATACTGACCGATCAAATTCTTCAGCTTTCAGGCATTTGCCCTCATGACTGGACCCCAGAGTTTGGCGAAAGGGCCTTTTGCAGCTCAGCTTGGCACAAAGAAGCCACTTGCAACTTGCAAGATGTCGCCCTAATGGTCATCATTTCGGCGCGGATTCATGTCCACCAACCACTTTTAGGTGGGGACTCATAGCGATGTGAAACTTGTGCGATCCTTCAGAGCTTACCAGGTCAAAGAAGCTTGCCCCAATGTAGGTCACCTTGGGGATCGCAGCCCTTATTTTCAGTATTTCAGGTCTGGATTTGTTTTGTAAGGATTGCGAGGACGAACAGCAAGAAGTATCCTGGGTTCATTTGAGTCACAAAGTACGGAGCATAAACAAACAAGCGAGTACTTCGGCGGTAAAGCTGAAGTGAGGGGCATGGTGAGAATTTGGAGGCACTGCTACCCTCATGATCGGCGACGGGGACCGGGACAGCCCTGGTGATGGCGGCTGCCTGAGACTGGGGCTTTTTGGGCACATACTTGGGAGAGTCTTTCTTGAGGGAACCCTTGGCTCTAACGGGAACCCAAAGGAAACCACTTTTTTGTTTAGGGGCGTTCCTTGAGAAAGACATACTATTGTCCTTTGCCCAGGTCGAGAAATCAATCTATGACACGTTGTGAAAAGCCCATGCATGAGCGTTCATGAGTCCCCCATGCGGGCAGGAGCCGAGCAAATGTTATCCTCGTGTTTCCAAAGGCTTTGTATTGCCATGGTCCTGATTTGTTTGTTCGTTTGGGCTGGGCTGGTGGCTGCAGTTACATCTTGCCCGGACGCATGTTTTTCTGTCATCTTTGATTGCCACCTTTTCGAGGTTCGCATAGGTGGCTTAGGAGTTTGCACTGCGCTAGAGAAGCTGGTGCCTGGTGAGCCAGCTGTTTGTGAGGGCCTAGCCGCAGCTTCACAATGAAAGATATGCATTTGTCATTTGTTAGTGCTTGATTTTTCAAAATTGAATTTACGCCAACATCAAGCCAACCATTCGTAAGCGTCTGATGGGGAGGGGGCGGGAGGGGCGGGACCGGGGGGGGGGATACCTATCGTGTGAAAGCTTGTCTAGTGCAGGCTGGTGAAAAGGCAGCGTTGCCTGCCACGTGCGCCCCGTCCTCTTTCTCATTGCGAGTATGAGGGTTTCATCCATAATTGGTGCGAAGCGGAGTTTGCCCGTAGTACAATTTGTCCTGCTTTGCGCAAAGGGCTGCTCTCAAAAAGGACCGCATGGGCCGCATGGGCCATTCCGAGCTTCCCTTCAGGGGCCTTCGATTGCCTCAGCTCCACGGTGGATGCAGCGAAGAGCTGCGGCTTCGAGCTCTTGGCCACGGCGAGCATCCGTGCCACAGGCAAACCCGCCTGTCGCCTGTGCGCGGAGGGCGGAGGGCTTTGGCGGGGGCGGGCGGCAGAAACTGGACACCCATGGTGCGGCGGACAGTGGTTTGGATGCGATTTGTGTATATGTTTGTCATGTTTTGCGTTTTTGTTGCAGCAGTTGTGACGCTGTTTTTTGAGAAATGCTTGTGACTGGCAGGTTGCATTGTTTCGTGGCACCTTAAGCAAAGGGAGGCAGCAAAGCAATATCAAGGATGTTTGAGCCCAGCTTCTGCTAGAAGCATGTGACAGGTTTGAAAAGGCCCTCCTTGACGGCAGCCCGAGTGGCAGGCCTCTTGTGGCATCCAGATAAAACGAAGAGATTCAGCGATCAACAACCTGACTGGGCATACCTGGGTTTACCTTGGTTCACCGCTGATTCTTCAACACAGAACCAAAGTGCGGTTCGCACGTCTGAACCGAGGCTACTGGGCCACGCCTGAAGGCCATTCCCCTTTTTTGTTTTGGGGGGCGGGAGGGTTCCCTCTATAGGTGGGTGTCATTTTTTCCAGACTTTTCAGACACTGGCGCCTCTAGCGCTTTACTTGTCCCAAGCGAACCTTTTCGAGCTGTTGGTCTCCAGTTGTGGCCCCCCTGTCAGTTTTTCCCAAGCCCCGGATGTTCAAGGTTGCTGAACCTTTCAAGTTCCGCCGCCCCCAGATTCACCAATCCGGGTCGAACTGCTGGTTCTGCATTCTCGTCGGCATTGCAGCGCAAAAATAGGGCTAAGGCCATGGCCACATGGGAGACGAATATGGTCGCCAAGGGAATTCAGCAGGATTATTTTGCTGGACGAGTTGTCCTATCCGTTCTTTGGCTGGTTGCTTTTTTTGCCCTTCCATTTCGGCTGGCCAAAAGGCTTGCACCGCAGGCAAAAGCGAGCAACGCATGCGGGGCATGCGGCGCACTGAGCACATGGTGCACCTGCGGAAGCCCGCGGCGAAAAAAAAGAAAAAAGGAGCCATCGATTGCCTTTCGCGCGGCGCGATGTTGTTGGAGGATACCATTTTTTAGATTTGTTTTGAACTGAACCCAGGATGTGGCACGCATCAGGCAAGCAAGAGGACCGAGGTCCGTCCAAACCGCCTTTGCCACCTTCCCATTGAAGCGGCTGTAGCTTTGCCTTGGGGTGGTTGCATCGGTCGATCTCGCCGCTCCGCCGGATCGAGCACAGGTGGACACATAAACCTGGGCAAGGTACATGGCCACGGCATCACTTCACAACGTTCACGAGCATCCTGAGCGACCCCTCCAAGTTGACTCAACCCACCCGCAGCATCCGACGGATGAAGCACCAGCAGCTCTTGCAACGAACGCAGACCGAGCAGAACAAAGAAGTGGCCTTTCTGGCCTTTGGGCCAGGAGCCGAGAAGTCGTTGGGGGTTCGTACGTCTCTGTGGAACTGATCGCCCCCTATGAGATAGCTTGGCCACTTGAGGAGTTGAACCTCAGTGGAAACCAGATCCGGAAACATGCTTTTGTTGAGAGCCAAGCGTTTGTTATTTTGGATGATCCCGGTATTCTGGGGATCGACCATGACGTTCAGAGGCTGAACCCTGAAACCCCCATTTCACCACGCCCGTGATCGCTGGTTGGTCACTTTGGCCGGTGCAGACAAAATAGGGGCGGGCAACCTTTGACGCAGTTGTTTACAATTGGTCTCCATTAGCTAGATACCGTTTGTTAGTTGACGCTCAAAGGGAAGCAATGGTCAATCATGTGGGCCAGTTCCTCGAATTTCATTTGGTTTTCGAGGGGTTTGCCGTGTAATGAAAACGGAAAGCAGCTGAAATGGCTGAAAGCTTCCTGAGGACTTGTCGATCTAACACCCAGACCATCTCTGAGTCAGTGACTCGCCAACTCCCCGTTTTTGCGTCTTTGCCGGTTCGCCAAAATTGTGCCAAAGAAACGATGTGCTTTGGAAGCCTTCACAAGGCTGGGTCGTCAGAATCCACCGCGACTGGTTGGGATCCCTGAGGTACATTGCGCAGGCATGGCCATGACGGCTCGGGAGTTGCCTTACATGTTGCCGCGCCCCCGATCCGGAGGCAGAGAGGGGGCGCGTTGATCCACAGGGTAAGCCATGAGGCAGGTTCAAGGCAACTGGTCCAAGAAGGCTTCGTTTGGAAGTTGCCAGGCACTCCACGCCACAGAGACTTATTCTACCAGCTTCTCCCCCCCAATTGGTTTCGAACTCTGGTGGTTGTTTGTTTTAGTGGTTTCCGATTTGCTTTGGAACTTGGAACGCTAGCAAACTTGAATGTGGGCCGCCCTGCTCGCGCCCCTCCCCCTGCGATGTGGGGGGGATGTTGCTCTTGTCCTGGGACCCCAGAACAGTCACAAGACAATAAATCAGTCCGAAGTTCTCAAAAATAGTGGCCCCAAAATGGCTGGTCTGGCCTTAGCCCCTTAGACCTTGGAAGCAAGTGCTTTTTCCAGGAAACCTGCCCAATGTGATCGACCTTTTGCTCAGAGGGCTTGGAGCAACCCAGTGAGTAAAAACGGAATGGGGTCCCGACATTTTGACAAAACCCCATCAGGTTGTGTTTTCCTTTAAGTCCCAGAAACAAACCACGTTGCTTTCCTTGATCCGCCAAATCGAACCTCAGCAAGCTAGGAAACTTTGGGCAGCACTTTCTAAAAGGAGGTTGCGACTTGCAACTTTCAAGGCAGAGGGGATCCTTTGCCGAGCTTGACATGGAACCCGATTTGCTGGCCCTGCGAAGGCTGATTGAACATGTCAGACAAGAACATGTTCCCAAGCACCCTGAGTTGGGCAATGTAATAACATACACGTAGGACAATGGCTGTGGTTTTATCTATCGTCAATTGTCCAGAGGCAAGCTGGCCATATCTGAAGCTGACCACTTGGTTGCGGTTCCTGGTAGCAGCTTCGGGCTAAACACATTTATTGGTGAAACCCATTGAACAGAATTCCACCCCCTGAGGTCATGAGCTTTCTACTTTTGGAAAGACCGTTTCAGAATGGCTTTGTTTTTTGCCAATCCCCTCAGAATGTGAAAGCATGTTTTCAATATGTTAAGACCGGGTCTGGGGACGTCAGCCGTTCAAACACGTTTGAACAGCGCCCTGGTTCGCACCGCCGCCATTTAGATTGTCTGCGGAGGGATACCCCTGGCCCCAGCTTTAAACGAACTGGAGCCATTGAACACGTGTGATGGGGCAGTCCCACAGCTAGGCTAGGGCCACACGGTTTCACAGTCCAAGAATTTGCCTGCCGGCTACTGTCCAAACTAAGATTTGTGCTTTGGTCTTTGCATTGCACCTGGGATCACAGATCTGGGGAAGTTGCTTGAACAATTAGGTCTAATATCGTGACTTCAGAATAGAATTCTTAGCGGGTGCCAATTTGTGCCAATCCAGGATGAGCCCCGCTAAGTAAACACACCTCAGGTTCCGCCTTAGTCCTGACCTCACTCCCACCGTCAATAGCTTGGAAAGGACTCCACACAATAGCACCGGGTTGTCTTTTTTTGAACTTCTGTGAGGGACCACACCTCATGTTTCTATTGGGGGGGGGGTCCCGTGTTTTGCAGGGGGACCCCCAATCTGGCGATTTTCCTTTTTGGTTTCCCCATTAACACCCAAAAAACAATCAAAAAAGCCGTGCCCTCAAACAACGACACAACAATTTGTATGCAATCAGAAAATCAAATGCAAAACCTCTCGGTGTTGAGAGGAATGGCACGCCGTTCTCAGGTGCTTGACCCGTTTTGCGGCTCTGGCACCGTGCTCATCGACTCCCGGCATTTGTTTTGATGCGGGCCAGGTGGTTGGTGGTTTCGGTATACACGCTTGGCTCATGCTGCCCCACATGTGATGCCTTGTGTTATGTTTGTTGTTGCCACATTCCCAAACTGTTTGTGGGCAATGCTTAGTCGGTTACATTGGCATGGCGCTGCTGCAAGATCATGTTCGGTGCCGGCCAATTGCTTTGCAGCCGGCCGCATAGGCGCATGCATTCAAACACCTGGGTCAAGGGTTTTTGGTACTTACCTTGCCAGCTGACCCGCTACATTTCCTTACATAAGGCTAAAGTTGATTCATGGGCTGGCTCTGTTTCGGGGGAACCCTCAAAGCTCAGAATCGTTGTTTCAGGTTTTGTTCCTTTCGAGAGGGGCCTTCAAAATCACAAGGGTTCCGTTTGGAGGAAGCCTCGAACCTCATGGTTGTTCCTGGTTTTTGGCAGGGACCCTCACACCTTATTGATGGTTGTTGTGTTTGTTCTTTTTGGGGGGAGGGACCTTCAAAACACACCGCTCTGTGGCAGGGGAACCCTCAAGCCTTATAGTCATTGTTTCTGTTGCTGTTTTCGTGAGGGGGGCTGAAAACCAAGGGCTTGTTTGGGGGAGGGGGCTCAAAACGGTTTCTTGATTTTGCTTGACCGGCCTCAAAACTTAGGAGGTGAGTTCAAACACCTGCAAATTCACGTGGTTTTCTATCTTACCCCCTATGTTTGACTATCTTGGGGGGTGTTTAGGGCTGGGTTTGGCTGGGTCTCGAACAAGCCAACAACTGAAGTGAGTCAGGTTGGCACTGGAAGTCAGCACTCCGGATTTGAAAGGAAGTTTGTTGCTCCAGCTGCATAGCTGCGGGGCTTTGTTCAAGCGATTTATCAATCAAACCTGGTTCAGAGTCGGTGTGCTCCAGCAATTGGCTAATGCATCTATTCTTCCAAAGGGACACCTAGGGGAAGGCCCCTCTGCCACTGGTGGCTCAAGGCCTTTGGCAGACAGACTGACACCTTTTGAAGGCTCCCAGGCTGCCAGACAAAGTGAGATGGCAGGATGGATCATGTTGACTGGGGCCAGTGACTGTTTAGAATTGGTATTCCATGAAATATGTGAGTCAAACTAGTGCCTACATTACACCTATATAAGACAATATAGGAGGACAGCCCCCGAAAACAGTTCCCAAAATCTTTGGTTGGGCCTGTGACGCCAACGCGGGCCTTCTGACCCGAACGTGGAGCACGCATCAACACTGCCTTGAACCGGGCCGTCTCGGGGGGGCTGATGTTCATGATTGGTCTGCAATGAGTGGGCCATTTGGAACCAAACACTTCGGGGAAATGGGTGGCCTACATGTGCCGAACAGGTACGCCATTTCTGCGCGGAATCCTAGGCCGGACTTTGCATTCGTCGAGCCATCGGCTCAAGGCCTGGCGGCCAGGCCGAAAGCATTCTTTTACCCAAAGACGCGTGCTTCTCCAAAATGAATTCCATGGCGCAGGGGCTTTAACTCGCTTCCTATGTTCCTGGACTTGCTGTTTAAAAGGGGTGCGGACCATGTTAGTGACCCACATCGGAAGTGAACTAAACGCAGGGAAAATGGACCCCGCGGCGACGCCGCGGCTGGATGCCCGGACCTCGATCGAGGGCCACACTGACTGGGTCACCAGCCTCAGCGTGAACGCGCCCCTCGGATCGGATCGGAAATTTTGGTCGTCCAAAGTTCGTTTTCAACGGCGCTGTGTTTTTCCATGTCTATATCCATAGATACACTGTGTTTATATGTCTATGTTGATGTGAACAGCGCCAAAGGAACCCTCTTTTAGGGCTCGCTAGCCTTGAATCAGCCAATCCCGTTGCCCGAATGAGTTCAATTCTGGGAAGTTGTTGCGTGCGCGAGTGCACGCATTCTTAGAGAGACCTACTTAGCTCAACCAGTTCCAGTCATGTCCACCTAGGATTAGTAAGGGCCCCCCACCCGCCGTCCCTGGATCTGCCAGAATGATATCTTGAGATCCGGGTGAATTGAGTTCCATTTGGGTTTGTATTGCTGAAGCTCCGTTTGATTTAGTGTTGCTGGGGCTTCCTATTGGGATTTGGAATTGAATGTTCGTTTGATCTAGGATTGCTGGAGCCTTCTTTGAGATCTGGAACTGAGTTTCCATTTGATGCAGTATTGCTGGCTTTGAGAGTTTCTGTTAGATTTAGTATTGCTGGAGCTCCCTTTCGATTTTCTTTTGGGGACCAGGCCCCTGCATTTTGCGAGAGACATGTCACAAAACATTGTGGGAAAGCTGACGACGCCAGCATCACCTGGGCTGTCTAATGATTTAACTAGTCAAGAGGCAACTACATGTGCAGGTTGTATTTTCCCAGGGGGCCAGGCAACCATACTCTATTGTAGGGGCCCTTGAAATAATGTCTTGGGCTCAAATTTGGTCGGCCTGAAGTGCTACCCTCTTTTGTGGGTTTGATCATGGGCAGGTGTTTAGCAAGCGACATGTGTAAGAACACAGGGTTTTGGGGAAGCTGAACAGTTTGGATTTTGAGGAGAAGGTTCAAATCATTTTTGGTGTGTGTGTGTGTTTAGTTTTGTGTTTAAACATCATTGTTGAATTTCCCGGGGTGGGCCTTGTCTTGTTCCAAGTGTTTTTCTTTGGCCACCCGCTCGTCTTTATTCCAGATCCACTTACGAGATCCAGGTGGGTACAACTACCGAACGTTTTTCCAAGCTTCCTTGGGTCAAAGAGAACGCGGGAAGTTAGCAGTTTACTGCCCGCACCTACCATTGCTTGATCAGGAGCAAAGTTACGCAACACATTTCTTGACGCCCCCTTTCCTGCTAAAGCCAAGGTCGACGGATCTCGGTCCAGGTGCTCAACGAGGGAGGCTGCTTTTGTCCGGCTCCAAGGATCAAACTTTGCGGCTGTGGGAGGACAGGGGGTTTCGAAACACATTGGGTGTGGCTCAAAAACCAGAAGCGAAGCCCAAAACAGCACCCTGGCAAATGCAAACGTAGACTCTAATCTGTGGCCCTTGGCTCTTCAAGTTTGAGCAACACCAATTTGTCTGTGCAATTTCCTTTTTTTGTGGGCCATCGAACCGAGGGTAGGGTGTAGATACGACTGAAAAGCTGTTCTCACGACTTCTTTGGCAATACCTCGACAAGATTCCTTTCCTGTACCTCGACAAGATTCCTTTCCCTATACCTCGACAAGATTCCTTGTCTTCCTTGAAACTGGGGTTCTACCTTGTCTTCCTTCTCCTTCCTTCTCCTGTTCCTCCCAGCAATGGACGGTCGTTGCGTGTTTTGCACTTTTGGGCCCCAAAAAGTGCAAGTCGCACGTTCTTTGACACTTCTTTGTCTTCCTTCTCCTTCCTTCTCTTGTTCCTCCCAGCAATGGACGGTTGTTGCAAAGAACGTGTGTTTTGGACTTTCTGGGCCACAAAAAGTGCAAATCGCATGTTCTTTGACAGGGGTTCTAACTTGTCTTCCTTCTTCTTCCTTCTCTTGTTCCTCCCAGCAATGGACGGTTGTTGCAAAGAACGTGTGTTTTGCACTTTTTGTTGGCCCCGAAAAGTGCAAATCGCACGTTCTTTGAAACAGGGGTTCTACCTTGTCTTCCTTCTCCTTCCTTCTCCTGTTCCGCCCAGCAATGGACGGTTGTTGCAAAGAACGTGTGTTTTGGACTTTCTGGGCCACAAAAAGTGCAAATCGCATGTTCTTTGAAACAGGGGTTCTAACTTGTCTTCCTTCTCCTTCCTTCTCTTGTTCCTCCCAGCAATGGACGGTTGTTGCAAAGAACGTATGTTTTGCACTTTTTGGGCCCCGAAATGTGCAAATCGCACGTTCTTTGACAGGGGTTCTACCTTGTCTTCCTGCTCTTGTTCCTCCCAGCAATGGACGGTTGTTGCAAAGATCGTGTGTTTTGCACTTTTTGGGCCCCGAAAAGTGCAACTCACGCGTTCTTTGAAACAGGGGTTCTACCTTGTCTTCATTCTGCTTCCTTCTCCTGTTTCTCGCAAAGAACGTGTGTTTTGCATTTTTGGGCCCCAAAAAGGTGCAAAACACACGGTCTTTGCAACAACCGTCCATTGCTGGGAGGAACAAGAGCAGGAAGGAAAAGGTAGAACCCCTGTTTCGAAGAACTTGCGATTTGCACTTTTCGGGGCTCAAAAGTTGCAAAACACGTGTTTTGCAACAACCGTCAGTTGCTGGGAGGAACAGGAGAAGGAAGGAGAAGGAAGACAAGGTAGAGCCCCTTTTTCAAAGAACGTGCATTTTGCACTTTTTGGGGGCCCAAAAAGTGCAAAACACACGTTCTTTGAAACAACCGTCCATTGCTGGGAGCAACATGAGAAGGAAGGAGAGGGAAGACAATGTAGAACCCCTGTTTCAAAGAACGTGCGATTTGCACTTTGCGGGGCCCGAAAAGTGCAAAACACGCGTTCTTTGGGAAGAAGTACGGAACAGGAGAAGCAAGCAGAAGGGGTTAGTCGTGGACACGTTTTGGGAGTTAGTCCCTTCGGGCGCTTCTTCCTGTCGGGGGCGTGCTTGGCACCAGTCGGCCCTTCCATGTCCGCTTTCTCTGGGGACTAAGCCGGGGTCTCCCAACGAACCACGCAACAAATCCACCCACCAAGACTTGGGCCCTTGAGGTATCAAAAGCCATGCCGTGCGGAGTTTCAGCCAGAACTCTTCCAGACCTGAACATCCAAAGGGTAAAAAGCGTTAAGGTAGAAACCTGGTAGATCCTGGAGCCTTTCCTTTGAGCTGATCAAGTTTCTACCTTCCACTTGAGGATGTCTTATTTCTGCCTGGTTTTAACGGGAACCTGTTACTACAGGAAGAATGTGTATACTCCAGGAGGCAAAAAAGCAAAAGGCTGTGACGTCGACAAGCCTGCAGGAGGACCCGGATCCATCCCAAGACATCTACAAGTGCTCCCAGGCCATTGCGCTCAGTGCCTCTTTTGGGCAGACGAGGCAGAACCCCAATAGTTGATTTTGTTCTCCGTGTTCCCCGAATCGTGGGAATCCGGATCGCGTTTTGGGGCCACCGGTTTAACCGGGGTCAACATTGCTGGTTTGGCCCGGCTTTCGTGGAGGGCAAATGGGCAAATCCAAGCTACAAATTATAGAGTAGCGTATGTTTCCATGTTGTGTTGCAAGCTGCTGAGGGGCGTTGTTCCATGGCTCCTCATGGTCCCCATGCTACTGGGCAAGCTGCGCCATGCCAGAGGCTCCACCCAGAAGTTGACCACACTCTCATGACTCCCTTTCTATCAAGAGTTAATGTGAGGCATTGTTGCGAAGCCTGTCCAAAGCGGTGAATCCAGCGCCTGTTTGTGAAGTTGTTTTTTCTCCGGGTGTCCATGTGCCTTGTCCACACTTCTCAGCGTCTGTGGAGAGACACTGTCCAAACAAGTCCCTTGCCCCCACAAATTCCTTGAAGGGCCCTTCGTGTTTCTTGGGTTTGGCAGGTGATATCTGGCCACAGCGATGTGGTGTCCGGTTGCGAGCTCTCCTTTCAGAAAGACCAGGGCATCTTTGCCCTGTCCTGCTCCTGCGATCAGAGCTGGTGCCTTTGGCACCTGTCGAGCAAGGATGAGCAGCTCAAGCAGAAAACGGGATTTTCCTCGGCCTTTGGGCGGGGTTGACACAAGTATGGCTTTTGCGGAGCCCGTGGCGCACCCTGTCAACTGGGTTCATTTCCCCTTTTTTGTTTGCGGTAGGTTCCCAGCAAACACATGAATGTTGCGCTCTTTGGGTCCACTTTGGCTTGGTGGTTCCAGGCCCCAATACTGGGATCAACCTCCCTTTTTGTTTACCACAGAGTTTCAGGAGCTTGACAAAGCGGATGTTGTTGGGTTCGGCGCATTCTATTGGTAAATGCAAAGTTCAGACTTTTTCTGGCCAATCCACTCAGGAAATGAGCAAAGTGTTCTCTTTTCCACCATTTGCCCTTCACAGGTTGCAGGGCAATTGTCACCGCGAGAGCCTGGTAAGGAAGCTGATGCAGCAGCAGAAGCGGGATTGCCAGGCATGGTCCCACAGTGTTTTACGCTGCTGCTTGTTGTTTGTCGTGTTTGTTTCCCGAAAGCATTGCAAAGGGTTCTTCCGGCAAAATCGCCAGCCATATCACGCGGCCAAACTTGCACGATGATTTTTCGCGCTGCCAAGCTCAACTGGCGCGAGCCAACTTGTACGACTCGCGCAGCCAAACAGCGCGAAGCCAACTCACAAAGTGAACTTTCACAGCCCCGCTGAAAATCGCAACTTCAAGCGCGAAAGTGGCACGCGAAGTTCAGCTTCGGCTGGAAAATCACAACTAGTATGAACGTATTACGCAAAGATAAATGTGCGAAAGGCTCCTGCTGGAAGATCGCAACCTTTAGGTACAACAGTATTGCGCAAAGTACACTTCCAGAAGGCTTCGGCTGGCAGATCGCAGGCTTTAAAAAACTACGAAAGTAGTACGCGAAGTGTATACGAAAGTTTTGCAAGCCCACGCATGCAGCTGCCACTTGCCCATCAAAAAGGAAGCAAAGCACACAGACACACATGAAACCAACACTCACTTTTTAATGCTTTTTGGCCACCCATAACACTGGTTCTAGTTTGTTTTTTGTTTCTTATTTTTGTTCGGCTTTCTGAGAGGGCAGCCAATTCAAATTCTATGGCTTCGGTTTCCATTGCTCCCAAGCATTTGGCGTTATGCAACTGCAACCATCCCCCAGCGCGAGCGTGGGTCACAACGCCAAGCTTTGGGTCACCCGCATGCTTCCATTTGCAGAGTCTGGGAGCCAATGGGGGTTTTCCAGGCATGTCCTAGGGATGCTCCAGGGTTGTTGCACTAATGCTTGAGCGCATTCTGTTTCTGAGAGGTGCCGAAGAAGTACTTCCATAGCAAGCGGGGTACACAACTCGCTTGATCCCGCTTGCCTAAAGCAAGCCGAGCGTGTTTGTGGCTTGGTGGGTCTGTGTAACATTGTAGTCATGCCATTTGCCGTATTCAGAGTTTGTGAGGGAGCATGAGGATTTCAACGGGGGCATTGGCTTGCCATCGCTTTTGGTGGCAAGCGGACACGGGAGAGAGGTTTGTCGCGCAGGCAGCTTTGTTGCATTTGTGAAGACCCGAAGGGGACGCGGACAAGGTGCGTAGGGTACATTCGGGTTCATGTTTGCTCACTTTGTGGGCGTCCGTGGTTTCACACCAGGCAAAGCAATCAACTTTATGTTTCAATGTGTGTCCTGGGAAGCCCGTTGGGTCGGCTCGGCAGGAAAACCAAAGACAAACCATCGGTGGGGCCCCTTACTTTTCTCACTCCCTGAGTTCCTGGACTTTCGATAGATAAGCAATTTGTTTTTGTTTGCCTATCCCCTCAGGAAGTGGAAGGTTGACCAGAAGCGGGCTTCTCTTGTTTCCTGACCAGCACAAAGTCAACATGGGTCCATGGGTTCTCTTTAGGGCTTGTTTCTAAAGGTAAATGAGGAAAACACGGTTCGGATTCAGAGACCATGTGAGTTGAGAAGATGACCTTCCAGAGGAAGGCCCAGTGAGATTCCGTTTGGCCGAAAAACTTCGGCCAGGTCAACGCAGTGTGTGGGTCCCCGGACTTGCGGCAGATCTTCACCGCGAGTAACAAGCAGGCAGGTGGTTGCGGTTTTTGGGAGTTGGCACCCCGCTTGGGGCTGAATTGAGGTTACCCTTTTCAGGGTTGGTTTCGTTTGTGGTTTAGAGGGGAGCCAAAAGGAGAACCACAATTTTGATGTCCCGCTTTTGGGCTGATTTTACAGGCACACCTACAGCAAATCCACTACCCCTTTTGGGGTGGCGCGACAAGGACTCCTAAAGAATATTTGGTGTATGTGTGGGGTGGTTCTAAGGAAAAGCCAGAAAGAGAGCCACCATGTGGGATGTTCCCCACAGGTGGACCTTTGGACCAATCTGGAGCAGCTCGAGCACACGGCGCCTTGTACAAAGGCGGCCCTTTCAGCACGGTGAGGCTTCAACCGATGAGGGGCAGGCTCACCCTTTTTGGTATCCCAAATTAGTTTGGCTATAGAACTAGTCGGGCTTCGGTAGCTCAGCCAGGCGAGTTTGATTGGAAGCGCGGTTTCACATGATTTTCCGACAGTCTGACTTGCCGGGTGTCTGGACTCTTTCCGGGCACTCAGGAAGTGCAAACAACCCTCAGCTGGCCACTGAGGCCGCCTTCTGTGAGAAATTCAAGGATAACGTGTCCGCGGTGGTTTGGGTGCCCTTGGACAAGGAGAGACGAAGGTTTTTGGGCAAATGTTCCGGAGCAATGTGAAGACCTTAAAGGGGTGAGGTTACCTCACCCAGTCCATTTGGTGCTTCCGTGTTTTTTTTGAGGGGAGTTCCCTCTCGAATCAACTGCCAAGAAAGAAATCCTTTTTTTCGCGGACACCGGGGGTATTGGTAGAGAAATGTTTCTGTTCTTGCGTCCGTCATTTCCGTTTGTGGAATCATTTGGTTGATTCAGGAAGATGTTTCCTTTGAGATGCGAATTGATTTGGCCAAGAGCTTGGATTGAAATCATACACGTAGGCCCCAAGCAGCGCCTGGCGCTCCATCAAGTTTCGCCCACAATGCTTGTATAAGAGACAAGGTAGTGAGAAGGTAAACAAACATACACTAGACTGGCAGGTGCCAGTAGGCATACGTCAAAAAACAAGTTAATATAGGACCAACGCATAATAACTTAGGATCAGCGCCAAATTATTCCAGACCATGTAAAGGAGAATGCAGTTAGTAAGTTAGTATCCTGTGCACCCTGTAGCAAAGGGCGGTTAGCAGGTCAAGCCAGCATCCGGCGCTGAGACGGACAATCAGCTACCAAGTTAGGAAGTTAGAAGTCAGCAAGTTAGCAAGTTGTCAAATTATTAGTTTATTAAGTTGGTAAGTGGTCAGCAAAAGGCAGAGAGTGGAACTCAAGGACGGGATAGTTAGTAAGTTAGTTTGGAAGAAGCAGTTAGCGGTAGTAGTTGCTACTGCTGCTACGATTCATACCGCCACCACCACCAGCGCTGCAACCAGGACTGCCACCAAGTACTACATGCTACGGCTGCTACTGCTACTATTCCTGTCCTGGTGCTGCTACTTCTACTGCTGCTACTACGACGACGACTGCTACTACGTCTAGTACTACTCCTACTACACTAGAACTACCACTGTACCAGAACTACCACAAAACACGACAACGACAATTGCTATTGCCACTGTTACATACAACTGCCACTACCCCTACTCCTGCTACCCCCACCACCACCACCACTACTGCTACTACTGCTACTACTACGACTACTACTACTACTAGCTCTTCTACTAGTTCTTATTCTAGTTCTTACTACTACTACTACTACTGCTACTACTACTACCACCACCACCACTACTACTACTACTACTAAAACTACTACTACTACTACTACTACTACTACTGCCTACTACTACCTACTACTACCTACTACTACCTACTACTATTTATTATTATTTTTTATTTACTACTACCTACTAACTACTAACTACTAACTGCAAACTGCTAACTACCAACTACCAACCACTAACTACTAAGCAGTAACTCCCAACAACTAACGACTTATTACTAACTACCTACTACTTGCTACTTACTACTTACTGCTTACTACTTACTACTTGCTACTTTCTACTACTACCACCACCACCACCACCACTACTACTACTAGCACTACTACTACTACTCTTACTACTACTACAGAATGTGGCCTCACAACACAAGCAAGCCTTAGACCATCGATGGAAAAATAACCTTAAGAAATGCAAACTGGAAGTGTTGTCAGCGGCAGTTGGCCCCACTCGTTCTTGCTGTTTTGTTTTGCACAGCGCTCAGAGCCAAATCGCTTCGCTCAGTTCGTGGTTCAACATGCATCGTGGGAGACCCTGCGTTTCGGGCCAGCTTTGCACCACAACAACAACAACTACTACTACTACTATTACTACCACCAGTACTACTACTAGGACCAGTACCACTAGTACTGCTACTACTGCTACGACTGCTATGACTACTACTGGACTGCTGCTGCTGCTGCTACTAGCTGCTACTAGCTGCTACTACTACTGCTGCTGCTTCTGCTGCTGCTGCTGCTACTGCTGCTGCTGCTGCTGCTGCTGCTGCCGCTGTTGCTGCTGCCACCGTTCTTGTGTGTTTCGTTGCTTTTTTGAGACTTTGCAATCTTGGCCAAGAAGAACCACGAAGGAAGGGGCTGCACCATAATTCTGAATACGTGTATTTAGATTTCTTAACCCCGCTATTTAGTTTTTGTGGGTGTTTGGATTCTGGACCCAACATCCAAGATTGTCGAGGGACCTTTGAGAGAATTCTTGGATCCATAAATATCCCCCTGATTTCTGAATACCTGCTTTTAGATTTCTTTAGACCAGCATTCAGATTTCTTAATGCCGGTATTGCGGGTTCCGGTGGAGCTGAAAATCTCCATGCCGTGGTCCTTGATGTCGAGTGTCTCATCCTGAAGATCACGACCGTACGCGGGCTATCTTCAAACTCTGCCTTCCGGGGTGCGCCGCTTCAGCCGGCCGAAGCAAGCTCGCTTGCTTCAGGCAGTGTTACTGGGTGCATGGCACTACCCGGACCCCCAATCTGGCGCTCAGTTGGGACTTTTGATCGATGCAGGGAAGCCCCAACATGACAATTTTGAGAGGCGCCCTGCCGCATTGCACAGGAGACCAAGATTGCGGCTGTGTCCTGGGACGGGAGCATTAAGGCGAGGTTTGGCCATCTAGCCCTTGAAAGGTGCAATCCTAAAATTGCGGTTTCCTTTTTGATTTCCCCTTCAAACAACAGAACAAGGGTATCCCATTGAAAAGGAGTGACATAGTCATGGGCAATGGGCGTGGGAATCGCACTTTCACATCACACGAGCCATTCTTGTTCTTTATAAACAAATGGAACCAACGAGGAAACCATTTCCCAGTTGACTGTAAGCAAGATCGGATGCTCGGGGTACTTTTTGCTGCTTTATCATGGTGCTGCTTGAAGGATTCGAAGATGTTTGTTTGTGTAACCTTTGGTCCTTTCGGTGCTTCATCGTTTTCCATTTCAGCCATGCAGGAAAGATCACGTTGTGCAGGGGTCCAAGTCTAGCCCATCCAGACAGGTCTGGAACGTCAGCGACATGAAGCTGCACTGGGAACAGAAGCACCACAGAGGTGCCTTGCATGCCGTGGCGGCTTCTCCGGACGGCAGCTTCTTGCTTGCGCTTTGAGCATTTGTGGGAACACAAATTTGTTTTCAGTTCCCCCCTGTTGGTTTTGAAGGGACACTATGACTACTGCACTGTTTGTTCATTTTCTCGGGGACTTGAGCAAATGGAGGTTGACTTTGCGAAGCGTTCAACCATTTGCGAAATGGCTTTGTGGGAGCTTCTTGCCCTCAACCAGCAAGCCTCGCACTTGTCAACCACGCTGAAGGCTTGGACTTGTACTGTTTTGGCTGAGGGTCTCCCATGCTTTTTCTTCCGGGGCTTTCATTGTTTTGGCTCAAACCCCTGGATCAATGAGCGCCCATCCGTCGCGTTGTCTCGGCAACTGCTTCGCAAAGGCTTTGTTTTTCCTTCTACGGAGTGGAGACCTCCATTAGATTTGAGTTGCCCAGTTCTTGATACACCCGCGAGGTGCTTTTGAACTTTTGGTTGGGTGTTCTAGGGGGCTGTTGGCTTGTGGCCAATCCTTGAGCTGGTTTTCCTTGCCAAGCAGTGGGTCACTTTGGTCTTGCTCCATTTTGGAGCTTCCAAATTCGAGCTTCCCGGAGTCTCAGGGCTCTGTTTATCGCGACACGGTCGCTGACGCCCCTTTGGCCGGTGGCGCCCCAAGTTCTTTGAGGACACGGGGCAAGTTGCTGCTCACGCGAAAGGTGCGGATTTGACGCCCGCTGGACTGCGGGTTGGCGGCACTGTCGAGCTGTAACCACCAAGGAACCCCTAAGAATGCTGAGACACTTCAGCAATATTTGCAAGAGATCGCAACTCAAATTACGATGATTGACCTGCCAGACGCGTGTTTGCATGAACTTTTTCCGCTGTTTCTTCAATCCATGGGATACGGGAGAAGTGCTTTTTGCGCAGAGCGAACCGCTGCGGGCCTTTTGTCATGCGTGGACTGGCGTCCTCCTTGTGCTGGCATTAAGATGCTGTTGGGTAGCATCATGCTGCCTTTTATGTTGACTTCGCCTTTATGCTGCCTTTTATGTTGGCTCACATATATGCACTCGTTTAACAGTCAGCCAACTGTGCCCGAAAAAGAGCGTGGAGAAGTGCGCAGGGATGACAAAGCATGTCCATCTTTTCCGCTTGGAACGCCATCTTTTGAACCAATGTTGCTTGAGTCCCACTTCATGTGACGTAGTCAAGGGGACCTTTGCCGTCCGGGTAAACCGTTTCAGGGAGCCACAGGATGCACCCCAACAGCCTCAACCAACTTGGTTGGATCTTTAGACTTCAGGCATGTGCCGACCCCAGATCAATACATCGGATGTCCCTTTTTAGTGGGGATCCATCTATCTCAATAGGAGGGGGCCATTAGTCCGGGGTCAACATTCAGCAGCTTAGCAGCCAACCGCCAAATTGGTTGCAAGCGGGCTCGGCCATTCAGCCAAGCCAACCAACCCCACAGCGGGGCTGGCACCGGCGTGGTTTTGCAAGAGAGCTTCCTTTGGATGGGGTGATTCCCTGAAGGACACATACATATCGGAAGCCCAGGTCACTCCACAAATTGAACACCTTTTGCTTGGGTCAGACTCAAGCTGTTTTTCCTTTCAGGGGATCCTAAATTTGCCCGTTTGCATGTGTTAAAGATAAATAAGTAAATAAATCAACAAATATATATTTGTATCGCTAATGATTGGTTTTGAACAGCCACATTCAAGTGCTTTTGGCGGCGTGATGTTGAAAGGGAAATGTAGGGAGCCGTGTTTTCAAATGCTGAACCGGAAGTCGTGCCCCTGGCCAAGCCGACCTCTCGAGGCTTGATCTTTGCCGGGGGCGACGATGGCATGGTCTCCATTTGGGAAACCGCGACCGGAGACTCGGAAAGTTGATGCAGTCTCGAATATTGATTCTGAGCCAGGGGGGCCATGGGAAGGTGGCGGCGATCCACTGGTTAGGTTACATGCTGCTTTCTCCCGGGTTTTTACGAATGGTTAGAAGGCTACGTGGATTTGCCTCGGCCTGACGAGCTCTGGGTTCTGCGGGCGCAGTTTTGGAATCTTTAGGTCGAAAAGGCTCGCGGCGATGCTAAGCCAGACAGGTTCTGAACAAACTCAGTTGCCCAAATCGAATCGACCTTTTGACCTTTTGGTTTTTCAAATTTCGCACGGTTTTTGGTGGTGTGCCACCAGGAAAGCACTTCCGGGACTACTATGCTGCCAGCACGATCTATGGCCTGGATGTGAACCCGGCGAGATATTGGGTAGCACTGGCTACCAGCAACTCCGTCCGGATCCTTAACTTGGAGCGCCTTGGCGTCATTCTGACCTCAGAGTCCCGAACCTGGTGGATTATGAAGGGGCCCTAAGAATAGAAAGCACCACCTGGAGTCTCCCTTTTCTTGCAGCTCCAGGCAGGAAAAGGATTCCCCCAAACAACTTGGACATAATCAACCGTCAGCCAAGGGAGGAGTCGATTCCGCCCTGCACCTTCGAGCCCGAGCACCCTTTGCCACTTGCCCGCCTGCTATTTTGGTTGGACCGCAAAACACGTTTGGTGGAAACATGTCATTTGTTTAAAGAAAATGAAGCGTGGTATGGCTTTGGATGAGTTCAAATTTAGTTTTGTAATGCTTTATCTAAACCCACTGCCTTTTGAAATTTGACCTTTGTTCACGATCTGTTTTGCCTTCGTTTTTGGTTTTGAGTAGAGTAGCGGGCCAAAAAGCCTACTAGTAGGCGGTTCTGCTTCCGGGGCAGGTCATGCCAAGGTGATTCTACACTTGATCTCATGGTGGTTGTTGTAAATCATAAATAAACCTTGATATCCAGCGTAGAACCAAGCGTCGATGCGTACAGGACGGAGGACACGGTGTGACAGGTTGTGAAACCCTCCCAGAGTCGTCCCTTTATTTTCACCCAGGGATGACTCCTTTCCATTGAAAAGGCCAATGTGAGACTTAAATAAGGGCTATGCAACACAAATCCAAGTTATCAAGCCGTTTGCAGCTCCAAGTGCAATCGCTGCAATGGGTTCAATAGGAGGTATGAACAAACAACAACTTATCAGCTCTTGTAGCTTTGAATGCAAGCTTAAGATATGTGGAGCATGAAGCTTATCAGTTTCCTGTAAGGCTCTAGGGGTAGCTTCCCGCCCGGAAGCCAGAACATTTTGCATTTTTTAAAAGAATCGGGAACCAAGCCGTAGAACAGCTTGAACTGTTTTGGATCCAGTAAAGTGAATCAACATTAATCCGTTTGCTTGGCTCAATTGTTTCAAAGGGTTGGGTCTCCAAACCACAAGCAACAAGTTGTTTTCCTCTTATTGTAGCCCACGCCTTTAATTGTTGAAAGAGAAGCCAATCTTAGGCCGGAGTCCATCCCCTGGGCGCTTTGCCTCAAGTGGCGCCAAGACGGCGAGCGCCTTTTTGCGGGCCATTCCGACGGCACCATCTCCTTTTACGACGTCGTGATGCATTGACCCAAGAGCGACCGCAGTTGGCGCAATCGCAGAATCCAAAACAAATACTGACACATGTGACCTGCAAAGCTTCCAATCGCTTTCTGGGGCCCGTTACCTGGGCCCAGATCTTTGGTGCAGCGGCGAAAGGGGAGCGAAGGGAGCGAAGGGAGCGAAGGGCAAGGCAGTGACTGAGCCAGGGCCTGGGTAGACGAAGGTTCGGGACCCTCGCCAGAACAGATGCGGATGGTTTTGATTCCAAGCATTCTAGGCTGCCAGAGACCGAGTGACGCCGTTTCAGGGGTTGGCTTTTCCTTTTCGTTGGCACTGGGGCTTCCCAACTGAGTTGAAGCATGCTTAGAGCACAAGCTGTTGCAACCGTCTTTCTCATTGCCCCAGAAATCCTCTCAAGGGGCCTGGTCTACATGTTCAACGCTGGCCAATGGTGTAGTGGCTCACTCAAGCAAAACAGGACGAAGGGCTGAGCAAAGAGGAAGGCCCGATCTGTGCCAGAGATGCGGATTTTGTGAAATCCGCTTCAGGTCAGCATCCTCAAGCACCATCCAAAACAATCCCCCGCCGTACAGTAGGACCCCAAGCTCCAGCAACGGGGCCCAGGTTTTTGAAGCTGTGGTTTAGATAGTTTATTTGTTCCACTGTCTATATGGCGGGATCCACTGCCCGCTTCCTTTTCAAAGAAATCCAGTAGGCGAACCGGACCTTGTTTCGCAAGTCTCAGCCAGCAATTGCGCATCGTGCGACTCCACAACTGCATGAAGCAATGTGCACACGAAGTCTCTTTTCGGGGTTCCTTTTGAAGAGGAATCAGAAGCAAAACAGCGAATTCAAAGGTTACATGCCAGACATCGCTGAAAAGAGCTCCCGGAGCACAGAAACAAGACAAATCCAGTGATCCCATTGTCCTGTATAGGTGGCCAGGGCGACCACCCTTGACACTTCAAGGGATCCTCTTGGCCTGAGGAGGCACGCCTGGCCGAGAAGTTGGCCATCGGCTGCGCACTCAGTGCCGGGCAACCGAATCGCTGTATGGGTACAATTGGTTTTGTCACTTTAGCAGTTTGCTTGTTTGCTGCCTGGTTGGTGTTTTTTTTTTGTTCCCCTTGCTTGCTTGGTTCTTTGCCGGGTTGTGTGGTGGGTCTTGCTTGTTTAGTTATTTGCTGGTTTGCCTGCTTCATTGCTTAGTCCTTTGTGTGCGTGCTTGTTTTTGTTTGTTATTGGTTTTTTGCTTTGATGGTTGTTTGTTTTGTTTCCTTTGCTTGCTTGCTTGCTTTCTGGCTTGCTTAGTTTTTGTTTGTCTCTCGTTTTCTTCTTCTTTTTTTTCTTCTCTCTCTCTCTCTCCCCTTGTCTGTCGGTGGATCGGTCGGGCGGGCGGGCGGGCGGTCGGTGGGTGGGTCGGTTGGTCTGTCTGTTTGTCTGTCTGTTTGTCTGTCTGTTTGTCTGTCTGTTTGTCTGTCTGTCTGCTTGCCTGTTTGCCTGCCTGCCTGCCTGCCTGCCTGCCTGCCTGCCTGCCTGCCTGCCTGCATGTCTGTCTGTCTGTCTGTCTGTCTGTCTGTCTGTCTGTCTGTCTGTCTGTCTGTCTGTCTGTCTGTCTGTCTGTCTCGCCCCCAGATTCACCAACCTGGGTCGAATTACTGGGCATTGCAGCGCAAAAATAGGGCTAAGGCCATGGCCACATAGGAGACGTATGGTCGCCAAGGGAATTCAGCAGGTTTTTTTTTGCTGGACGAGTTGTCCTATCCGTTCTTTGGCTGGTTTTTTGCCTTTCCATTTCGACTGGCCAAATGGCTTTCACCGCAGGCAAAAGCGAGCAACGCATGCGGGGCATGCGGCGCACTGATTACAGTGCACCTGCGGAAGCACTCGGCAAAAGATGGAGCCATCGATCGCCTTTCGCACTGCGCGATGCTGTTGGGGGATACCAATTTCAGATTTGCTTTGAACTGAATCCAAGGGGAAGCCACTTTGTGTCGCTTGGAAGCTGGACATATGTTTCAGTCGGTGCCTTCTTTTCAGATGTGGGTTCTCTGAAACACTAGGTGTTTAGCGGGTCGGTCACTTTGGATCCAAGAAGGCTTGGGCATGTTCATTGCTGTTTCCGTTCCAAGCACGTGGGTTGACCAGCATCGCCGCAGGCGGGGGGGGGGGGGAAGAACAAGTGTCCATTGCTGGGATTCCCATCAGGTTAGGTCAGAAGCAACTTGGGGTTTTGGAGAGTTGGACTCGGACTTTGGCATGTTTCTGTCGTTTGTTTGAGTCTTGGTTCACAAGATGAGGGCCAAGGCCTTGCAGAGATGCTTGAGGATCCCTCCAGCGACGGCAGGGGTGCTTAGGGACCAAGGCTGAGAGGGATTCACGAAAACGATGTAGGTTATGGATGCCAACCATGAGCCGAGAATACCGCATGTGCCACGTCCACCCATCAGGCGAGGTCGAGTCCAAACCACCTTCGCACCTTGCCACCTTTCCACCCAACACCCATCAAAGCGGTTTTAGCCTTGCCTTGGGCTGGTTGCATCGGCCGAAGCTCTCGCTGCTCCCGCCGGATCGAGGGCAGGTGGACACATAAACCCGGGCAAGGTACATGGCCACGGCATGATTCCACAACGTTCAAGAGCATCCAGAGCGACCCCTCCAAGTTGACTCAAACCACCCGAAGCATCCGACGGATGAAACACCAGAAGACCAGTTCTTGCAACGAACACAGACCGAGCAGAAGAAAGAAGTGGCCTTTCTGGCGCCTCTAGGCCGGGAGCCGAGAAGTCGTTGGGGGTTTATATATGTCCCTGTTGTGGAACTGATCACCCACTTCATTGTCGTTTGATGGCTTCAATGGTTTTCCCATGCTTTCCCTCCACGCGATGCTTGAGCGGGTAGTCTATTGACCCCTGATCGAACTGGGTATGGCACAGGGACTGAAGCAATCTTTGCCGCGAACAACAACTAAGCGCCCTTTATTTCCTGACGACGTATTGATTTACAAAGGGAATTCTTAACCTGGGTGTGTCCGTTTCGCACTTTGTGGCCCTCCCTTAACACATTGCAATCAAAGGCTGGCTTCAAAGGTATTGATTCATGTTTGAGGCGGAATCAAGATAATTACATTTGCACGCTTATAACGAGCCCACGTTCTTTGCAAAGGGATCTCGCTTCTGGTGGGCACCAAGTACCCAGATGCAATGTTCCATCTTGCCGGTCAGCAGACGCTTGCGTACTGTGCTGCAGATAGCCATGGAACCCCAAGAAACAGACTTTGTAGAAGAATCTGAATTTGGGAGATTTTCCTTTGGGTTCTTTTAACTCTGACGCAAGCCATTGGCTTAGGTTGGTGCCAACTCGCCCCCCCCCCCCCCCCCAGACTTAACTGCAAGGACCCGGAATCTGGCAAAGCTCAGTTAAGTTCAAGACCTGCTGCTCCTCCACTGCGACACTTGAAATAACACCTTTGTTCGAGAGGGTCCCCCAAGAGGAGTTTCCTCTGCAAATGTAGGTGTCTTTTGGTTACACGATGCATTGTTCATAAGTTTCCCTGGCCACGACTGGAATCTAACCATGTCATGGGAATTTGTTGGCTTGGATAAGGGATGCGGTATTGAAATCCCAGCTGGTAGAACCAAAAGTCGCTGGGTTCGGGGCTTGCCACGCATGGGAAGGACCAAATGGCCATGGACCTGATGGCTTCGCCGTCGAAAAGTGGGTTCGACCATGGTTTGGTTAAAAATTGTGCGGCTCGCTGGGACGTAATTTACTAAGTTTCTGGCTGCGGGAGTCTGAGCTTCTTTTCGGTGGACGGTTTGAAAGCACCCCTGCAAGCTTCACCAGTGTTCACCTTCTGTGAAGTTCATGTTGGTGGACGTTGTCCTTGGGGAAGATCATGCTGGACCAACAGCTACGGGGCTTCAGGGCGCTCAGGACGTTACAGTTCCAAGGGAAGCCAACCTGGGCGGGCTTCCATTCGGAGACAACATCTTCGGGCATATTTTTGTTGAACACCTCTTGGCGCACATGATGTTGCATGGGATGTATCTCCACCGGAAGTTCGCCCTGAACAACTCTTGCGAACGAGCGCCTGTTCAACCAAAAACATCACACCATATCACACCCACAATATCGCGCGGCCAATGCAGATCTCGTCTTTTCAGCACCTCATGCGGCTCCAAAGCATTCGACCGGGATCGCTTCACCTCCTGAGGGCCCCATTTCCCTCGCCCAAAGGCCTCCGAGACCGGAAGATGCCATGCAAATCTGTCCGCGCCTGAGGTTGCCCTGCTTTTGGAACGCCGCCTTCTAGTAATGTTGACAGCCAGGTTTTGAAAGCAACATGTAAAGGAACCTACTGGACAAACAATGGACAAATATGCAATTGTTTAATAATGTTTAGGTTTTCCAGAGCCCCTATTTGACAATCCAGATCCCAGCTGACACTGACCTGTTGTTAAGCCCAAACATAAGGTATCGCAATTCCTCCGATGTTCTCTTCCATGGTAGCGTTGGCATTTCGAAGCCCCCCTGAAAACGCATTGGCAACGAGCAACTGCCGGCTCCTTTTGGAATATGCCAACCTTTTGTCGAGGCAAAAAGGACGCAAGTACAAGTCTCCTCAATGGTCCTCCCTTTGGATCCTTTCTTGACGTTCTGGCCTGGCAGTGCCTTCGGGGCTAGAGCCCTTCGCTCCCGTTTCCTTCGCACAGCGAAGCTGCGTTGTTTGTCAGTCAGGCCCGCCACTTTCAAGCTGCTGGCATCCAATCAATAAGTTGCCATTCCTTTGGTGTGCCCAAGATGTTCTTGACCATTTGCGGCTTTGGGACTGTTCGTGTGTGGGATTTCTATCCTGCCGCACAAGTTTAACTTTTGGGTACTTGCTTGTAATGTCATCGTGACCAGCTCTCTCTTTCCTCTTTGCTCCCACTCTTTCAACTTACATTCACAAACTTTCCTTCGCATTACTCTTACTCTCTCAACGTACCCTAACTTTCAAGCACACTCACTCTTACTCACTCCGC